CCAACGTCGCCCTTGGCAGAAACCCATTAACAGGATAGTTAACTTCATTTACACGGACGACATCCTGCCACAGGGAAGCACTCGTCAGTCAGCCGCTGATCAAGCGACGAAGCAAGCACGCAGAACTTATGCTTTGGTATCAAAGCGTCCCTGACGAGAGCTTGATGCCGGAATGAAGGGCTTGCAGCGACACCAGCAGTTGCCACTCGGAGTTGGGGGCCATGGTCTGTTTGCCGCGTGTGCTGAAATCCACGCCGAAGCTGCTTTCATTGGCAGCGGAAGACACGGGGCTGCACCCACCCCACCCAAGACAAGAGGAGAGAAAGACACTTCCACGGAAATACACTCGCTGCTGCAGTCATCGGCGATGTTCGGTCCATTTGGCACGCGATATTCAGAATGTGAGGGGGGGGACAAGAATTCCAGAGAATATGCGTCCCGTCGTGGGTTGGTGTCGCTGTGGTGGACATGGTGAAGCAGCTCGTATGTTTCACACTGTCCCGATCTGCCCCTGATGGAAGTCCACTCTGATTCGTGCGGTGCAAGACTCTACCCGTGGACCATTCGCCTCGGGAAGAGCGCAGGCAATCAATTGGGACGAGAGGGATGGGTGGGTGGGGCGGGGATCAGGATCAAAGCACAAAGCGCTCGATCGCTTCGGCGACTCCATCCTCGTCGTTCGTGGCAACCACAACATCCGCCACCTGCTTGACCTGCAAACAAAGCAAAATTTCGTCTTTGAACAATATCGTGGCGGGGATAGAGAATATTGTGGCCACCTAGCTATAATCGATTAAATGGTAAGCCGAAAATGCCACAGCAGCACCAGCAGCAATGCGCACTTGCGCTCACACATCGCTGTCACGAGTGTCAACAGGAAATGGAGTTTCGTTGTTGAATAATCAACAGGTTTATTGTTGTCGGAGAGCAGAGTACATGGTGTATCAAAACACAATGCAGTTGACCGTGAGGTCCACACTGGAAAACTGGTGTTATGATGGTTTAGTCTGCAATACAGATGAACGACAAACTTGCAATAGGTGCAATGCCTCGGAACCCACCCCGAGGGATATGTCCACCAGATAGTGAGTGGACACGCTGGATTGCCTGCCATGAAATCGCGTTTGGTACAATTATGGAGAGGTGTCTGTGTCTCAGGGTTCCGTTTTTCGTGGATATTTGTTGGGCTTAATCCTGACTCTCTGGGTTTCTTGTTTGATCACAGCTCGATTCCAGGACGCTTTCAAAGCAGGTTGATTGGTCGAAGCAGAACCCAGTTCCGTTGCTGCAATGCTGTGCAGGTGTTGTTGCCCATTACACAGCTCAACCCCTTGCCCGACTACACAACAAGCTGTGTGGATCGTTTGTGAGGACTGGCAAAAGTGGAAATGTGCGCCGGTTTAGCTGGCCAGTAGCGCTGACCACGTCCTGTTGGATGTCTGCGCACCTTTTGGCTTTCTCCTCACATTTCTTCCCTGTTCCCGCTGAAGATTTTCTGTTGGTTGCTATTATGATTCAGACATTGTGGTATTCGTGCCCACATTCGGCACCTATTTCTGCTCGATTGAACTTACTGAGGGCAGAGGCGTGTGACTGAGAGTTGGCTAGGCAATCAGAGTCCATCACAATGTACCAACACTTCAGCAACAGCGATCCAAAACATCCACAAGTCGTCGTGGCAAGTGTTTTATTGGCCAGAGCTAGTTGTTGCTGGCACACACAGCTCTACTTGACTGCTACCGTATATCCAAACATTCGCTTTTGATATTCCACCCCTGTTCGATAGAATTGACAGGTACAGTCCCTCAATTCAAACAAATGATGGCTGGCATAAACTTCTTATTCTACTTAAACTTCTTGAACGTCGTCAGATCATCAATATAGCGTTGTACATACGGCCGAAAAGAAATCGCGTCCATGTTTTATCAACAATAACTGCAGACGCGAAGTACATCAACACATAGTTCCTACCAATCATGTCATGGCCATATTAAATTCCACAAGTGCAATACACCTAACACGGGTGCATGAATGTCATTTGCTGATGTCGAATTCTGCCATGAGTGTATTACTCTTGACGTTGCATCAATTTGCCGTTGATGCAATGTTCTCCATCAATAGCTTACCACAGAGTTTCCTTCAATGAGCTCCCTGAAACTGGGCATGGTCACAAATCCAGACTGCCACACTTGGCATGCAGTCCAACGCGTAACAACATCAAGTTTCGCCCAGACCAAGTATATTTTCACCAACCGCCAACAGCACAGCCCACCTTTTGCACAGCGTTGCCCATGGCCACACCCAAGCCTGCCCCTTGCACCATCTCGAAGTCATTTCCACCATCTCCAATGGCCATGACCGCCTCAGCCGGGAAAGCCATCTCCTGCAGCAGTCCCTTCATCCCCTCCCATTTGTTCACACCCTCTGGCACAATCTCCAACATGATTGGGACGGCTTGCATGACAGCCGCCCCCCGGCCCTTGACACTTTCCTGCCACTTGGGCTTAACAGCCTCCTCAATTCGTTGTGCGTCGGCCAAGAAAATCAGCTTCTTGAGGGGTGGACCATCCACGATTTCATCCGGGTGTGATGCCACCTGAACAGCAACACCAGTTCAACAAAAGTGTGGAACAAACTTGCAATCAGGGCAGCACAATGCCTTGCGTTTCCTTTTCTATTGTGCAGGCACAAAGCCAATTCTTCTTCTCTGGGGCGGACGTGGCCTTAAAAACTCCTAAATCTGATGTCAACATTGACAAAAGAAACTGGGGAAAACGAAAACAATGTAGAAATAGGGTCTATCGATGAGGACGGTGCCTAGCAGCACCTAGGCGAGGGCATTTCTTTGTAAAAATTGGATGAATGGAATCAAACCAGACCACAGAAACACTGCGATTCAGAGTCCCAACCTTGGCCAGTGGTTCGTAGTACACAGAATGCAGCGTTTTCACTTCCTCCTTCATGTCGAGCGTGACGCAAGTGTCACCCAGGAAACCAACACATGCCACGTCGTTGTCCACAGCATATTGAAATGCAGAGGACAAGACGTCCTTTGGGAGCGATGGGCCAGGCAGCAGTTGCCCCTTGGTGCTGTAAACGGCCAGGCCCTGAAGAAAAACGCCAGGGGACTTAGCAGACACGATCCCATTTTCGCCTGCATCATGAGACACCAGAATTCAAACTTTGAGTTTTTTGTGCCAATGCACTGTGCTTGCCAGCGCCACAGCACACTGTAAATTGTTTCTCAGTAAACACTTCCAACTGGGCTTCTGCCATCTTACTCTGTGGCATGACCTCCACCACAGATGGAGTTGGCAAGCATGTGAAACAAGGAAAGAACTGTACAGGATCACCGCGATTCTCAGGACGCATAAGTTCTGCATCTTTGTTGACTTTCACAAGGCATCCTCTTGAATTCCTTCCGTCGTTTCCCAGTATTCATGTGGAGGATGAAACCCATTCCATCCAAATTGGCGACTGTTCCAAACTCCCAGCCACAATCGGTTGCGAGCCTTGTGATTGGAGCCTGATTGTCCCCTTATTCGTCATGGGCAGCTAATTATGGTACAGCAATTTCAGTGGATAGCCCAGTGTACCTAGATGTCTAAGTCAGAAAAGCAGCAGAGTTCAGCAACATATGCAATCGGTTAATATCCCATTCCAGTCTGCTGCAGCTTTGTGGCACATATGTAGAACACAGTGAAGCAATGCTTTCCACAAACTCACAAGTGCTGCATCAGTTCCAGGCCAGGAACACAAGCAGCTGGCCAGCCCCTTGCAAAGCTGTGTGAGCTATTGGCAGCTGGCTGCATGTCCATGACCTGCACACCACAAAGTGTGGGACGCAGGTCCACAATTCCAATACATTTTCATGCTGGGCAGTGTTCTCCCTTTGCTGCAGCTTATTCACACATAATGTTGTGTTATACACTTATTCTTGATATTTAAATGAACAAGCGAAAATGTTTAACTGTGTTGTCGACAATTTTGCATGAGAGTAGCGTCTGATACCGCCCACTAGGAGCACCGCATGCTGTCAGATTTCCAAAACGCAACTTGAACCATTCCCGTTCGGCCACATCCATGAACCGAGTTTGCAGCCAGCACAACACCCACCTGAGAGCTTGGCTGCTGCACAGGCCTCGATGGCTGCAGGCCTTGCCTTGCCAGTGGCAAGCACTATAGATACACCCTTGTTGAGGGCCAACATAATGGCTTCACGTGAGGACTCAAGAATCTTGGACTTGCTGTCCAGCAGCGTTCCGTCCATGTCAAGAGCGATCAACTCGATTTGACGGGAGCTGCGCTTTGACACCACAGGGCCAGTGGAAAAATCGCCTTGAGCACCTGTTTCACTTCCAGCATCTGCATAACCAGCAGGCATACACAGAAAGGTTGATTTGCAACACCACGAGGCAATTAACAACAAGGTGCTCTCATCTACAATATTGCCAATATTAGGACAGCAGGAACGGGTTTCCCAAGCACTGAAGCCCATGGACCCTCACCTACTTCTTCAGCAAGTAACCCCGAATGCATGCTGTTCCCCAAAGCACTGATCAGGCCTTTTCCCTGCCAGCCCAAGGCTTCCAGGACCCGCTGTTCCTGTTGCGCCATCGCTTCCCATTCCTCATCCCCTCTGTCGTGATCGTGCCCAAGAAGATGCAGCACACCATGAACCAGAAGAATGCGGCACTCTGTCACCAAATCGTGCCTGTGATGCAATGAGGGCAAAGAGATGAGCAAAACAGACCTTGCTGCTGATTGTGGGAGGCCCCATTTCAGGTTCTAAGATCTGTGTGTGTGTCTTTGACGCCCTTGTTGTCAGAAAGGGCAACACAATCCAACACTGCTGTACTAACATCAATGCCATTGCCACTATCATAACTGTTAAGATCATGGCACAGTATGTTGTGTGTACCAAAGCGGGAGCACAAGCGCGTACCCTCGTTCGTGTGCCTGCCTTCGTGCAGTGTCCAGGGAAATCATCACGTCCCCCAGCACCAGAACTGGCAGGGCCTGGAACGAGAGCAGAGATAACATGTTTAGCAGACTCAAGAGATGCATTTGGCATAGTCTCTTCACAACTTCAAATGTGTTGTATATCAACAACTGCATATGGTTGAGGCAACCCAAATCTTTAATTCTTAGACACTGCGTAACATGCGATTAACCATTGAACAAGAGCAGCCAGTAGCACAGACACCAAGCAAGCAATTGGATGAATACACATAGAGCTGGTTGGGAAATGCTTGCGGTAGCCTGGGTTCAGCTAAATGGGCATTGCATTCTCATCTTGCAGTAAACATGGTCTGTGAGGGTCTCAGGGTACATGTGCTGCCTCTGAACTAAGCGACTAACTGTTGCCAATTGAGCCCAAAATCTTGTTTTATGTCGAGTGCATTCAAAGCATAGATACAACAAGGAACGGCCACTCCCTTGGAATAATAATCCTGTTTGAGCCCTGCAAGTCCATGACATTATGAAGCTCCTTTGTGCATTTGATGCCCTGTTTCCATAAAATTGTGACCACAACTGAACTTCTTGTCCAAAGGACACAACCTTCCTGAGCAAAAGATTATGACTGTTTTCCATACTGAGGTGGACTCTGCACAACCCTCCAAGTGCTGACACAAACAGGATGTTACCCTGTGTACCATGACAATAGCATTCAATTTTGTCAGCTGCACAATACAATAATACGATACAACAACAGCGTGATAAGGGAACTACAAGGTATACAGTGTGTGGAAGCTTATGGTAACAGACATATGCTACATACTTCCTTAACATGCACCGTAAACTTCATGAAGTATCGTACACATATGTACGATACATATTGAAGAGCAACTTTGTGTCAATGAACCATCCACCACACTCAAAACAGCATCTGGATATCAAGGTGTATGGAGAGGAGCTGTGCTGTACCTCAGTGATGAGGTCTTCATCGTCCATCATCGGAAACGAAAGAACATCTGTGGGAGAATCAACCTGCCGCCATTCAAGGTTCGTCTGTTGCATGTGGTCATCGTCACACAACACAAGGGACAGCTCGACTGACTCTGCAAAAGCAAACGAGTTGCTCAAACCAGGCACAGCAGCAAGTTCAAGCTCCTTCTATCAACAAGGCAATTTGAGAGCAAAGAACAAACAAAAAACATCGATAGTATAGATTCTATACATTTGTTGCTGAGCATGCAGCACCGTACAGCACGCTCTGCATTTTGCATACGTTGAGATCGCATTCTGAACATTGTTTTCAAAGCCATGTGCCCAGCACTGCTCTGCAGTTGCACAGGCTTTCGGGGTTCACCAGCTTCCCCAGGACTGCTGCATGCACCATGACCTCTTATGCCAATGCTGTGAAAATGGATACCTCCTTTTACGATTGACTTCGTGGACAAGGTAGGGTGCATTTGAAGCCAGTTGCTTCAAACCCAGTGTTCTCTTGCCCAGCAGGACTTGCCTTTTGAAATGCAGCTTGTGGCAGGATCAAGTGCCAGTGCTTGTCGCACAATCTTCACACCATCCTCCCGGAGTTGAGCATCGATGCTCTCAACGTTATCCCTGCCAAGGCATGAAGCACAATTCACTAGCGTCGAATGGGAGAGGCATTTGCTTTGAGCAGATGGGCAAAACCACGACCTCGCTGTCTCCTGTGATTTTGTCCAAAAGGAAGCATGTATTAGAAGTTCCTGGACCTGCCAAAGTCATGCTGTCATTCTTACTGCACGGTTCTCATGCTGATATGCAGCTGTACAGGAGAACCCGAGTTCATAATATCCATGTTCCATTCTAGGACTTCTGTTCATGTTCTACACTGCGCACATTAGTCTAACAAGAATCCTGCTCAAGAGAAGGGGTGCCCATTGTACAGAATAATTCCCATCTGTCAATATGGCAACTGTTGGTGGCAATAAAACTGTCAGTGCCCCTCCAAATACACCTCAGAGGCTGAAGAAGACTCAAACTTGGGAAGGGCTGCAGAAGCAACATTGTGACTACTGGGGCTCAGCCGTGTTCTTCGCTATGGGAGGTATTGCCGCTATTCACAAAGGTTAATCGAACACTCTGCACAGGCGCGCTCCACTAAAGGAGTTGGCCATGGTATGTTATATCATTGTGGCGCATTTGAGGTGTTGCACTGTTGACAGAGGACTCCAGACAGATAGCGTGACCCGCGCCAAACAAGGATCGCAGCAGTAGGGCAACGATCAGTCCAGGCCACCTGCGCAGAATGGAGTTCCTGAAGTGTGAACTGCACATTTGTTCTCTGATTGAGTATTTGTGGCTTTGTAGACAGGATTTCCATATACTGTCACTGGCTCCATTCGAAACCATTGAGACCGATTACTCAGCGCCCAAATGAGTTGCGTATAGATTAGAGACCCTCACTGATTCCTGCACCCAGATTTGGGGCACTCCATGGGAACAAAAGTGACGTTTCTCACTTCAAAAAATATTGATGTTTTCAAGTCGGCCTCATCGTGTTTGGACATTGTTCTCAAGCAACAGCGTGGGCTTTACTGCTGCCCATCCCAGGATATGTTGGTCTAAAGAGCTGAAACAATACTGTGCAGCCATGAGATTCATTCTTGGATCAAAATTAACATTCTCAGAGGAAGGACCTGACAAACGAACCTTACGTCTCACCAGGCATATTTTCCCCCCACTAATAGCCACTCATCGGGCTCTCCCAGATTGTCTTGATTCACTTCAAAACCATATCAACCGTCACGACTCAGTCGCCAATCCGCAGGCCACCAAGCACAGAGGACACACCTCCCATCTCACCAGTCCCCAGACAGTGGCTTCCCCTCCACAAGCACGTCCACCCCCACCGCAGCCTCCTTCACCGAACTCTGTGCGGGGATATCTCTCGCCAGGCAATCACACCGGCTCCACCCCGACCGCCACGCTCGCCAGGATCGCTCCCTTTGTCGACTGGCCGCCGGCGGGCCCTGCCACCGGCGGCCGTGTGGGGGCTCCCCGGCGGGCGGCCCAGAAGGGGGCAGTAGACGAACTGCGCCGAATGTTGTGGCGAGGGACTGAGCAAGGAGGCGCGAGGGCGGACGTGCCAGCATGCTGGTGCGGACAACCTGGAGCAAATCAGGGATGTGGCGCCGCATAAAGGGCTGGGTCCCCGCTCACTGAAATGGTATTTGCGGTAGTGTCCTGCTCAACCCTTCCGCAACGCTTGGCCTTTTGCTGCAGAGAAAACAATAAAACAACGTTCTTTTGACAAACTTTTTGCGGAGCAACATCAAGAGAAATGAAAATGACGCTCTGAAAAACAAAGTGCGGAGCAAAAAGCGTAACGGCAATTTTTATTTGATGCGGAAGGGTTGAATGCACTAAGGTGTGTGTTGAAAAAGCGAGGTTGCCACGGCTGGTGAGCTTCCAAATGGAGAGACGTGGTTGGGGTGCGGGCGATGCGACAGGCATTCTGCCGGGCACCGGCGCCAAAAGCTTTTCTGTGCAGCCGGCCCCCTTGGCAGCTTTGCAAGGCTGTTCCACGTGTTGCGCTTGTGCACACCGGGCAATGTTTCAAGAGAGCGAAGGCATTGTACCCTTGGCAAAGATTTTTCTGGTCGGCGGCAAGTCTCTTTACACAGTCGCAGCCCAACAGCCGCCACCTGTCGCATTGTGCCCTCAGCTGCACATAACGTATGGAACGCCCTTTCAAGTACAACGGTGTCAGTGGTGTAGGGCTTTTGAACCCAACACTGGGGATACATAACATGAGAATCAGAGCAATTCTTCGTTCAGATTGAAAGAATGAACATCCTTACAAGCAACGTGAGCATTTCTTTGTTCAGGTTAAAGCTAATGTGATGAACCATCCCTTGAGAGGCCTGTGCAAGGCGGCCAACAATAGGTCGGTGACATGAAATGGACTCAGATTCTGAGTCCCACAACAGTCGCGAGAACATTTTGTGGCCATCTCCATGTGCTGAACGCACACAAGCACTTGTCTTCGTGTGCTGCAGCCATTCAGTTTCTTTCGATCTTGCAGTGGTTCAAATCTATGAGTGGTGAAAATGATCCAACATTCTCGGCACCAAAATGCGAATGAAGTATCCCCGCAAGTGCCTGCAATTTCAAAAGCAGTGCTCCGTCATGCGTTTTGCGGGCGACTCCCCATCATTCCCACCCTGGAAACGTGCCCTTGCGGAAGCGATTTGCAGAAGCACACCATTGCAGACATTTTGTGACAAATTTACAAGTTGCAACAGCACACTCCCGAAGGGAGTGAGATTTCCACTTGAAGAAAAAAACGAAACGATGGAGACAAGTGAAAGGCGTTCCCTGACCTGAACCTTCCCCCCACGGCCAAAGAACCCCAACTCCAAGCCCAAGCTAAATACTCCAGCGAATTGACAGCAAGGAACAGCACGTGTCCGGCTCGGCCACTCTCCGGCCGGCGCCCTAACGCCACAAGCACCAACAGCAAAAATAGTTCATCCACCCCATCCCCTGTGTCAACCTGTGAGACCAATGTAGCCCGTGGGAATCTGCCCCACAACCTGCGTCAACCTCCGCTCCCGTTTGTCGAGTCATAACTTCCGTCAGCGCCTCCCGCCGGCTGGACCCCCGCCACCTTTCCCCGAACCCCGCTGGCGAACTGCACCAAACGCCCGTGTCCTGGCCTGCACCCCGCTCTTCCTCTTATTGGGCCCCAGGTCCCATCCTCGCCGCTGCCGCGCCACCAACGGACATTATTAGCTCAGCCCCCTCCGACCCTCAAGCCCCGCTTTTTTTATGCGCACCCCGGCGGTCCCCGCCCCGCCGGCGCCGGTCTTATCTACAGCGATGGAGCGTGTCACCTGTCCTTCCTCCTTTCCCCCATAAACACACCAAGCCCACAACGCCCCAGCGGGCGCCAGGACGCCAGATTGAGCGCCCCCCCCCTTCCCTTCCACACTCAAGCCGACCCAACCCACCCTCAACCCCCCTGGACCCCGAGCGGAGTCGGGCAAGGGGTCTTGCCCAGCGAAAGAAAATTTGCAGCCCCCAAAGGGATAACATTGCATGGCCAGGCGGCCTCACTCGGCCTCGTTCTCGCCGCTGCACAGCCGCACGGGCGCCTTAGAGGGCGACACGCGGACCGGGAGGGTGCCCAGCACGGCGCCGCTGCAGTTGAGCGCCGCCAGGGCGCTCTCCGCGGCGCCGAATTCCACGAAGGCGATGCGCGTGGAGTGGGCGTAGTCGCCCAGCAGCCGCAGCTTGTTGACCTTGCCGCACAGGCTCTCGAAGAAGCGCTTCACGTCGTGCTTATCGACCTTCTTGTCGATGTTGGCCACGTAAACCGTGCGGCTGCACTGATCCATCTCCTCCATCGTCTTGGGCATGAACTCCTTGTTCACGGGCACGATGGCCGTCTTGGAGGGCAGCACCCGAATCGCCGACGACCCCACCACCGAACCGGACCGCTCCAGAGCGCGCTTGGCCGCGTCCTCGTCCACGAACTCGATGAACGCGAACCGCTTCGCCGAATTGGGGTCCCCGCACACCCGGCAGTCCACAACCCCCCCGCTCTCCGCGAAGAAGTTCGCCAGCTCCTCCTCCGTCACCTGCTGATCTATGTCGCTGATGTACACCGTCTTCTTGATGTTCTCCTGCAGCTGCTTCTGCACCGTGCGGCTGCGCCGCGAGCCCCCCCTCCCGCCGCCACCCGCCTTGGCGCCCGCCTTGATGCCGCCCCCGCCACCCCTGCCGCCCCCGCCGCGGCCATCCGCGCCTTCAACCGCTCCCCCGCGCCCGCCCTTCCCGCGCCTGCCCCCGCCCCTGCCGTAGTACGGCCCCCCGTAGCCCACCGGCGGCGAGTAGGCCGGCACCAGCAGCCGCACGGGCACTGGGCTGATCGACAAATGCTCCAGTCCCGGCAGCAGCACGTCGGGATCGTACGGCACAATGTCGCCGTTGGGGAGTTGCAGGGCGGACACCGGGCTGTAGTATCGGACGCCCCCGCCGCCGCGGGGCGCGCCCGGCGGCCCGCCGAACCTCCCGGCGAACTCCATCGACGAGGATCCCCCGTAGGCGGGGTCGGGCCCCGGCGGGCCGGCCAGCTCGTGGGGGGGCGTCCCGTTGGGCTGGGCGGGCATCGCTACCCCCGGGATCCCGGAAGGTGATTCAAAGGCGGGTTTGGAGGCAGCCGGATCGGGGAGGGCGTTAGTGGCCCTCCGGAGGGCCGCCGCGGCTGCCGGTGGTCGCACCCGGCGTTATTGCTGCTTTATTGCGACCCCTGCGGGCCCGCGGGCGCGTCCTCGAGCGGAGGCTCCAGCCGCTGGCGCCCAGGCTAGCTCTGGCCCAGGGGCTGGGGCCAACGGCCGCGTGTTTAACTGGGGCCCGCCCCTCTGTGGGTGGCCCGTGACGTAACGGCCGGGCGGAGCCGCCGGGGCGTACCGCGCCCGACGCGCCCGGGGAAGGGCCGAACGGAGCCAGCGACGGGGAACGGGCCCAACGTGACTGGACCCGCGGGGTCAGTCCGAGCACCGGGACACACGTGGTCGACGGGGCCCAAAAATGTCGCTGCGCCGAGGAAAGATCGAAAGAAGGGTCGCGCAGGTCCGTCCACCAATCGCAAGTTTCGGGTTTTCTGTTTTTCTTTTCTTTCCTTTTTCTTGTCTGGCGTTTGCGAGTCTCAGTACTTTGATCACTGTGCGTACTTTGTGTCTTTGTTGTGTGTTGGTCTGTTGTCTGTTGTCTGGGCGGAGGGCAGCGCCTGGGTTCTTCGGCGGCACGGAAGCGGCCGATCGCCGAGGCGCCAGGGCCGTGGTTGTGGGACCGCGAGACAGGCCGGGCGGTCCGCTGCCGCGGGCTGTGCTGGGAGGGGTTTGCCGGCGGCATGGAGGTGCTGCTGCTGCACAAAGTGACCAAGCACGCCGTCGACGTTCCGCCTGGCGAAACATTCGGCGGCCTGAAGGTGCGCAACGACGGAAAGAGAGGGCTGCACCAGACCGCCCTCTGGCGTTTTGTGCGCCCTGTGGTGTACTGTTTTAACTGCATCCCTCCGTCCCCAGATGGGATGCGGCCGTTGCATTTGCCAAGGCGATGGCGTGAAATCTTGACATCCAAATTGATTGCTCTTAAAATGTGCGTGAATGGCTCGCACGGCACGCCCGCAACAAGCACTGGCAGCTGGCTTTGCGCGCTCAGTGGCAGCGAACACTCCACTGCGGTGCAAGCACCCCCTTCACTGTGATACAATTTGCGACGACCCTCTGACAGGCGACTCATGTTATCCTCCACGAAGTGTTGTGGGCCCGGCCTCTCGAGATTTGATCTTGAATTTCGATATCGGGTTCTGCCTATTTCATTGCTCTGTTTTGCTTGAATTACCGCAGGTGAGGATCGCCCCGATTTGTGGTGTCCCTGCCGAACATCAGAAGCTTTTGTAAGTTTCCTTGTCCACGCCAGTCAATGACTGTGTGGCTTTCCGTAGTATCCAGTTGTCAGGCCAAGGGATCAACTGTAGTGTTTCAGCGTTTGTTTCAATGCTGTGCCCCCATTTTGCACTGCAAGTCTGGGCCAGTGCTGACAGCTAAAATGTGATAAATTGGCTAAAATGATCCTGCCCCCCTTCAAGTGCTGCAGAAATGCGCCCTGGAGGTTGGGCTGCAGTCAACTGCACTGCTCACCCAGGTTTCTCTGAAGATATTGTGGTGTTATGTGTTGACTCTTAGCAAGAAGAGCGCATGTGTCTCTTCCCAAACCAGGACTGCACACAATAGTGTTCTTTTGTCCAGAAAGTAACTAGAAATGTTAGTTGGGCAGCTGTTCTTGAAGCCTTGTTAACAGAGGCAATCTTCAAGCTGTACATGCTGACAACTCTTGCCAGTCAAATCTCCCATGTCAACACAGAGCACTGTTCTCTACATTCTGCATGGCAGCCTGCAAGCACACATTGATCCCCACCACCAACATGGGTACTCACTGTTGCCAACTGTGCAACTGAGATGCTGCCCACAGGCACATGTACATAGTAGTCTGGATGACCTGGCTGGCGGGTGGGTCCATTTCATCTGAGAATTCCCGCTCTTGTGACCAGCAGTTGTGTGCAGTAGGTTCCGTGGAAGAGAACGACATGACAAGGACGTCCTTGAGGCCTGCGGTGTCAAAGCAGGTGTGTATGTTTTATCTCAAGAAGCGTCTCCGAAATCTGTGCACCAGGAGGACACTACCAGGCTCCCTCTGGTGAATGCCTCCTGCAGCCACTAGTATTCTTTCCAGCTTAAAATAGTCCATGTTTATGAGTACCTTTGGGCAATTGTACAGTGCTTGTGTGGCCTTGCAGCTGCACATGATTCATTCAATTCCCAGGCTTGTAAATGGCAACCCTTGCATCTCACATTTCCAACGATGTTAATGAAATAGATGCAGCAAGACTAGACAGGAACATTCCAAAAATTGTGAGCACTGCAAAGAGAAAGGAGCAAGAGCATGTCATCTAATGTGCTTGCTATTGCCTGTCAGTCATTCATGCCAGCTTCTGCAGACCTGTGGCGTGCTTGCTATTGCCTGTCAGCCATTCATACCTGCTTCTGTAGACCTGTGGCATTTGTCCTCAAGTCCAAGTAGAACTGCTTGATGCCAGGACTGTTTGCTTCAGCCAGGAATGTTCTTTGACCTTTCCAGCAGTGGCCGCTTTTGGTCCCATTGTTGTCCACTTCCAACCAGACAGTGCTCAACAGTTTGATCATGAACACATGATATTGAAATTGGGGCACATGGATAGGTGCTGCACCTACAAGCTCCTGCTAAGCCCACATTCTTGCAGAAATTAAATTTGTTGGGATGATGCTGCCAGGCTCAAAAATTCATGTGGCAGAGAGCTCAGAATTCAAGGAACAGAAAGCCAGGGCCTTAGAAGCTGAGGAACAAGCGGCAGCCTTGCGAGCAAGTGAAGAGCGCCGCCAGGAAGCGATGATGAAAGGGGTGTTGGACATCAAAGGGGAGGTGAGCTCTTGTCAAGACGACCCATCTGATTGCATTGGTGGTAATGTGCATGGGAATTCACAGACTGACAGGCTAACAGAGGCTACCGGCAGAACTTTTCATAACAGAAGGAGGAGAGCCCAAACAACAGTGACTGTAGACACCCCGATTTGCAATTTGCTGCGCACTGCCTGTGTGGTGACATCAAACAGCACAGTGACATGTGATATGTGCCATCAGGAAAATTTGCGGACCACGGAGGACAGGACAGGACAGGACAGGACACTTGCCTGGTTTTGAAATGGGTCATTTTAGGTGTTCACAGCAAAGCGTAGTAGATAATGACATGTGCACCAGCTGCACCAATGCTGACAGCAATGTCCAAAGTTTGAAAGTTTGCAACGATCGCCAGCAAAGAAACGGGCCGACATGGACTGGCCCATGCCTTTGCACATGTACAATTCATTCTGATGATGTAGCGTTCAACGATTGGCATTGAAGTAACCAATGTTCCATATGCATGACATTTCAGCTTCAAGAGTGACTGCAGTTGCAACCACACAATAGCAGCATATCGAATATGCAGTTTCTTGAGAACCCAGAAGAGAAGACAGGCTATGGGGAGCCTGTGAAAGTCAGCAATGAGACCGGAATTTAGCTTCCTGCCATGTGGCAGTGTAACGGGACAACGGGCACAGTGATGGCCCAAGTCACAGTAACAAAACAACATATATGGGGTTTGACTCATATTCGCAGGGCAAGGACAGTGAAAAGTTGCAAAAAGAATGCTCATGCCATTGTTTGCTTGAGTCACTATGTTTGGCACACATGCAGTTGTGACAGTGCTTTTCTCCATGGCTATGTGTATCATGCCAGCCACATTCAATACCACAGCTGTCCATATTTCCAGCCGCGATCTGTGTATGGATATCCCCAGGGTGCCATTGCCTCACAATTGGGAAAATTTAATCAAATTTTGCCAAAATGATGGAACGCTTATTAGCGATGCCGTTGTCTCTTGTCATTTGCAGATCGATGCTGCACACAAGGAGTTTCAGCTCGAGAAGGGAGAAGCCGGCAGTGTATTGCAGAAGAAGCGATTTCTGGAGCTGCTTACACAAAAGCTCTTGCAGTTGGATGACCTTTCAGTGACAGGTAAGTGCCCATGGCTGTTGATTGTCTGCTCCCTTGCTACGGCATGGGCAGTATTCTGACAGAATTTGCACATGGCGCAATGTCTGACGTGGAAGTATTCGTTTTGCAACGGCTTCAACTCGCCAACTATTCTTTCCATCCATTTCCTGCCTATCACCATGGTAATGTGGAACGCCCATCGTATTGGCAAAACTAGCCAATGTCACACAATATCATTTGTCTTGCACGTTCTCCTGATAAATGTGGCAATCATACAAACCCCCTGTGGTTGACGAACTCCAGATGAAATAAGTTTATGTTTCAGGATGGCTGATGCAGAACCAGTTCTTTTGGCACGATGTGTGGCAGTTGCACTCGAAGTGGCCAGCTGTGGGAATCGCACTCCAGGGCAATGGGGAGATATTGGGAAGCATTTCTTATGTTTCTTGAGGACTCTACTGGTGGCACATTTGCCTGACAAGGGTTTCTGTGACGACAAATATACCGTGCCAGTGCAGTCAAAAGATTAGGTGTCAGGAAATATATCAACTGTTGCTGTTGATGTCACGGTAGCATGAAAATCCACTGATTGGAGTTGCCAAAAGCCATAGCAAACAAAGGCTTCCACCTTAACAGGCGATGATGGGCGCGTGCAAGATATCCGATCATGGTGTGTTCCACTCCCTAAGCTCCCAATTTTGCACACCAGGCCTGACGGTGGCGGCAGCTCAGTTCGGTTCATAACCAACGTCGACGTTGAAGAGTCATTCCCATGCACCTTATTGTGATGATGGGCAATGCGCTCATCGGCAGTTCACTGCTGATCTGCTGTTCATCGGGTCCTGGCCAGTGACAAGGAGCACTGCGTTGTGTTGCCCATAAAGCATGTGTCATCTTGATGGTGATTGCGTTGCCCCACGAGAATGAGGTCCTTCAACAGTTGCTGCATGGTTATGGTCTGTTGGGCGCCAGCCTGCACACAACGTCTTTACAAGCAATGTATTCAGAATTATTTGGTACCGATCAATGACACTTCGATTGTATGTACCATCAGCATTAGAAACCAGGGCGCCTGTGTTGATGCAAGAACGCGTGTCTTCGCGCGCTCTTCAGCGCCGTGTTTGTCTCAGTGTTGCCCCTACCTTAACCCCGTGCAAGCAAAGACACACCTCACGGGTTGAACGACCATGTGCGGTTGCGTGTTGAAGCATCAATTGAGACGATCAACCAATCCTTTACGCTTCCTGGCGGTCTATGCGTATGTGCTGACGCGAACATTCCCCACGCAGGTGAAGCTAGGGAACAGCGGCGGAGAGAAATCAGTCGCATCCAGAGATTGTGCGAGCAGCTGGAGGAGTCAACCCCAGAGGAGGTTGACAATTAGCACTCTGGATCGTGCGTTGTGCGTGCCTGACGACGCCCATTGTACGGAACCATCCGCAGGGTGCATGTTGTTGACATTGTTTCTTCATGGACGGCATTCTGTGGGACGTGGTGTGTATATTGACCAAGCGGGTGCGCCGTCGCTTTTGATGCATGTGATTACAAGGACGACTGAGACAGAAAAAGATGCAGGATGCAAACAGAGAATCAGAGCCGATACTGTCTCAGGGCACCTAATCGCGAGCACGTTTGGGGGAAAGTTTTATCTTCACCTTGGGCTGTATTGATTTTGTCACAAATACGTAGTTTCTCAGTGGGAGATATCTGCAAACTCTGCTCCACTGCCTCTTTAGTGTAAATTTGACCTTGAGCGCGACAAAACAGCCCTGGTGTTTGACATGTTAACAATTTAGTAGTTCTCAGCAGCCTGGTAGAATCGAATGATATTCTTTTTTCATTTCTTTGACTTTCAAGACATGCCGCCATCTTCCCCACATGACCGATCTTGTGAATTTGAAACCTTTCGCCACTGCTTGCACCACATCGTCCCAGGTCACCCACACATGATGCAAGGTGGATACTGTTGCTACTCGCGTTGCAGAACAGCATCTTGTCGAGCCCTGCCAGCACAATGTACAGGATTCAGTGTCAAGCGCGCAATGCTCAGACATTCAAAGCATTAGAGGGTGGCAAAAGCGCTCAAAATCATTTCAAGATGTGCCTGGAGTGCAGCCTGGGACATCCCATCCCCCTGAACCGTTCCCGGGCCCTTGGAACTTGGTGCATTGGACCCCCATGCCTTCCTTCGATTCTGTGGAACACACTGAGGGACGAAACAACAGCGAGCGGGTAGAGCAGGCTGTGGCAGCAGAGGAACTAGGAGGGACAACAGCAACAGGTTTGGGAGCGACAGAGGATGCAGCAGGAGCTGGAGGCTAGGCGGCCTCCAAGAAGTCGAAGCACAGCTGGGGAACAGGAAAATCAGAGAAAGGGAAAAGACGGACAAGAAGGCGATCATGCATGTGGGTGACCGGGACATCTCCCTGGTTTCTCCATTTCATTGGCAGCTATGTCCATGGAATTTGGGACCCCGGCGTTGGCGTCGAACAGCAGTGTGTGTGGGCGTGTGTTTTGCAGTGATGCTTTATGTGTGCTGACAAAATCCCTCTGCTGAATGACTGGGCAGTGCTGGACATCACAATTCAGTCTGTGGCCACTCATCAGACCTGCTGCAAGGACAATTTGGGCTTAGAACATCCTCACTTGATTGCATTGCCAGCCTTGCCCATTTGGGCTGTGGTTGACAACAGTCTGGAATCTGTGACCTGGAGACCAGACAGACGTTGTCAAAAGTTGTGGATGTTGGCAGGAAGTGTTCCACACGGTTGTAGTAGGTGTTCCTTGATATTTAGGCATGCTGTGCAGCAAGTGGGCATACTTTTAAGTTCGAATGTACTAGCACACATATGCAGCAAGGTATGTGTCCACATCAAACTGCTGTTAAGCAGAAATCAACTGGCCATTGAAAACAGTAGAGCCACATGCTTCGATGGCGTGCTCCAAACGTTGTTTGGTGGTGAGGCAAGGTTCCTGAGCTGGACCGGCTGATGATGACTTCAACACACATGACAAGCATATGTCGGATCGCCCCTGACGATGAAGCTTAGTCTGAAGCCGTCGACCTGTTGTGTTGGGCTCTGCATGTGGTCGGTTGATAGGAGATTTAGAGGAGTGGGTATCACTGTCTCTGCATGTTTCTGTGGTTTGTGTCTTGCACGGGCCTTTAGTTATTCGTTTTCAGTACCTTTTGCCTTTGTCTTTCGAGACTTTTCTCATCGGTGAAATACTTCTCACAGTAACAGGAGCAGCTAAACGTTGCGACCAGAGATGTGAACTTGAATTCAATGCTTCATTTGGGAAATTGCTTCTCTGTTGAAGACAGCTCATTAATGTCGGCAAATGCTGTCAACGCTGCACACATGTTGTTGCTAACTTTTCAGTCAGTGGCTCTGGTGCCTTTTCACATCAAGGATGCCCTGATCGAGAAGACAAAAGAGCAGCAAGACCTCAGCAACAACGTGGCCAAGTAGGCCAGAGACACGGAGCGCAGGAGCTTGTCGTGGGGAGGATGTTAATTTCGTTCACAAGTCATATGAAGAGAGAAAATGCGGGACAGAGGGTTTCACGAAGAAGTGGACGTGGAAGTTTGTTGCCAAGGAAGATTCTGGCTTCGTTGTTGGTGCCGCCGTCAGGGAACGGCGGCAGCAGAGGGAGCCTGAGTCTCGTCTGAGTGGGACAGGAGGTGGACAACTGGGGCACGGCCTGGCTGCCAGCCTAGCGGGGCAGTTGAATATGCCGGGGGTTTTGCAGGCGCTGGTGGCGGTTGTTGAAATGACTGGAAGGCAAGATCGGTGGCAGTGTTTGGCGTGTCGGAGGCCGTCTTTGGCATGCAACGCAGTGGCCAGGGGTGCGGGGTTGTGCCCTTTGCGAAGGTGCAGCTGTCTGCTTGTGTAAGACTTGGTAAACACCGAGAGACAAGCCATGCAAAGGGCAACCCCTCGCATGCGAAAGTGTGGTGGAGACTCTGTTCCATTTTGGGAAAAGATGAGTCTCCGTGTGCAAGAGTTGAGTTCAGACTTCCATTCACAGCGTGCCAGCCAACATGGGCTACGTCGTCACCCAGCCCCAAAGTTTGTCCCCGTGCACGCCAGTACGCGCGCACCCGTGCAAGAAGATGATCCCATAGCACAGGCAACGCAAAGTGCAGGAAAACGTGGCGCCTGGGCGTTTGCCGGCTGGCCTGAAGTAGCACTGTTGAGAGGATAGGATGGACGTGGACTCGAGGGAGGGGCCCTCCTGCCTGTTTTGAGATTCGCTGGCCTCTGAAAGAGTTGAAATTGAATTGTGTTTGTAACAATGCACACTGACCACCGTTTCGTTGGGTGCGTCAGTTCTTTTTTACTTTGCGAGGGGTATCCATGCCGGACACTTGACTCGCTGTGTGTGATGAGACGCGGACCGCTGGTGCAACCAAATGAATGAAGGGAAGTAACGCAACAGTACTATCCTCACAATCTGAACGCCGGTGCTTCCTTCAATGTCCTGGGAAGGGCCCTGCCCGCTTTTCATACCTGGAATGGGAATTTTAGTTTAGTCACCCATATATGGGGCCTTCTACCGTTCGGATGGACAGTCGCACAGTTAGTTCACATCCGCCTGGACTTGTGCTGGTGTTGGCAACCGTAAAGGATGCCAAGAAGAAGCATAGCAGGTCAGCTATCCTCCTCAGCGCATCTGTGCTTATGACGTAGCTTGACCACGCCATTGGCTTTGAATTTTAGCATTCTCTTGTGGCGAGCCGGGATGTGCTCTGTTGTGGGCACCATCCATTGGGCCCCAGATAGGCGATTACTCAATTGTGTATCGGCAAAGCCTGACGCTGCTGCATCCCAACAAAGGAAGCCAAAGCAAATGACACTGCCAGATGCGGAGCTTCGAAACAGCAGCATTCCTGAGCGCAAGGATGAGGACCAGCGTGCGCCCAAAGCAGTGCTTCATCCGCGCTGCACCTGTGGCAAACGAGCGCCCCGACGTACCAAGTATGCCACCACAGCAGCACCTGTTCTGCAAGTGCAGGGAACAGCACATGTGCCATGTGTGCTTACAATCGTTCAAGACGTCGAGGCAGCATTGCCAGTGGTGCCTCTCGTGGCAGCATCGCAACACGTCCAATATTGCTGCCCCACTCATGCGCCCCAACTGAGGCAGCCACAAATGAACCCACGGCCACTGGGCTGGAGCTGGGCGATGTCTGCCAGGATCTGCGTGGGGGGCAGTGGTGCGAGGACGGCTTCATGCCAAGCCATCAGTGTGACCACCATCGGTCCTGCGGCTGCGTTGCAGGCGAGGCCTGCTGTTCCTGGGCTCGCTTGGACAGCCACCTCCAGCCAATTGCCACTGGCGACGGAGAGCATCGGCTGCTGCGCCCACACCGGCCGCTGTGACAATGTCATGGTGCAAGGCAGGTAGCAACTCATGGCCAAAGCAGGGCATGCTCAAAAGATGCATTCTTCTCCTGGTGTAGAACACCACAGGCTTTTCCAGTTGCTCGGCTGCAGCCCACTGAGCACCGGCCGGCAATTGCTCCTACCCGTGCAGCCCCTCACCACCATTCGTCCGGGACAGGGCCCCTCATCCCCCTCGGCTACCGGCCCTTTGGCACCCACTCCTGCCGCGATTTCTCGGCATTCCGCTCCCCAGTGGCAGGTTGCTCCCGCCCTCCTCCGTCTCCATCACCTCCGCCCCCCCTCCCCCTGCCTCCCCTACCGCCCCGGCCCCTGGACACCATGCCACGCCCGTGGCCCTGCGATGCGCCCCTTCCCCTGCCCCTCTCCTCCTCCCTAACCCTGCCACGCCCTCCCTGACTGTCCTCACCAGCCCCACCGTCAGGCCCAGAGCCACGACCGGACCCACGGGAAGGTTTGCGCTTGTGTGCGCCGCGGCGCCCCCGACCTCTCCCTCGCCCCTGGCCTCTCTGATTCGCCCCAAAGCCTCCATTGCCACTCGTGGTTGGCCCACTGGACGCTGTGTCCGCCTCGCCTTGGAACAGGGTGTCAGGCAGCACAGTGCTGGTGGCATCCACGGGCATTCTCCCCTTCTGACGGTCGGAGCGCATGGACTGGCCCTCGCCCACCACCTCGCCAGAGCCAATGGTGGTCTCGGCCAGCAGCTCCTGGGGAAGGCATTGAACGCCTTCCCCTGTCGTTGCCATCTCCATCCCTGAAGCCACAATCTTGGGTGCTGCAGGCCGACCCGGCGGCGTGCCTTGGGCAGGCTTCACGATGCCTGGCGTCACATCTTGGCCAAACTGGCCAGGGGGTGCACTGAAGGGGCCCGCTATGCCATACAGCATCCCGCTCATTGCTCCTCCGAACTGCCCAAACTGAATGGGAGGCTCATTTGCATGCTGGGCTTCAAGCCCTCCAGCCACAGAAGCAAGATCCATGCTGGGACGTGGTGGCATGGTAATGCTGGATGGTGGATCGCAAGGTGGTGCCTGACGCAGCCAAGTTGAGAATAGCATGTCAGAACTGTTGCTCAAAAGGCAGGCAGCAACTTAACCAGGGCACGAACCATGAATCAAGCTCCGCACAATTTCAGGCACAACCATTGGATACCTGCCACACTCGAGTCGGCACTGATCGAGTGGCCTCTACCTACCAAATACACCAATCTCACCTTTGCCACTGTGTTCGCCGCAGGTGCATTTTGGAAACCCGATGAAGACGACGTCTGAGGGGCTGAGTCCTTGAGACTCCCCTCCATAGCTCCGCTGCGATGTCCCTTGCCATCTTCACAACCTTTTTGAGCATGCTTGGCAACATCTGTTGTGAGGGGGGGTGTCCTCTGACTGGTTGATGCTGATTGTTCCTGGATACCTGCAACAGTCCTAGACCCAGAAGCAGTCGTCTTTGACCGCCTCTTCTTCCTTTGCTCCGAGGTGTCTCGTGCCCTGGCAACTGTCTGCTGTCCCTGCAGTGCCCCCTCTTGGCCGTGTCCAGCAACGTGTCCTGCCTCACGCCCATCACCGCTTTCCATGCACCCCCCGCGATCGCCCTGTTCGTGCTCAGGTTTCTTCCGCTGCGTCCGTGGCCACCTTCCACGACCACCTTCAGCACTGTCCTTCTGGTTGGCACCCTCAACATGGGAATTATGCTGCTCCAAAACATGTGGCCTGACTTTCTGTCCAGCCTCAGCACCATCATTGGCCATCTCTTTGTCGCCTCGGGGCCCTTCTCCGCCCCTCCCCCGTATGCGCCGCCCACCACTGTCGCCGCCAGCACTGCTGCTGCTTCTCCCCACCTGTGGGCCCTGTTGGGAGGCATGTTGGGACATCGGCCTTGCTCCTGCTTCGGCAGACACTGGCCTCTGGCCCCTCCCTCTCTCCTCCTTGCCTCCTTCTCCACCTTCGCTTGGCACCCTTAGCCCCTTTTTGCCACGCGAACTCCTTGATCGACCTCCTCGGTTCTGAGCATCCTCCTCATCTGGCCTCTGTGGGTGGGACTCCTGACTATGTAGCCTCTCATGATCCTGCCTCCTGGGCCGGGCCTCCTGGCCTTGCCTGTTCTCACCCTCCTGTCTCTTCGGTCTGGACTCTCGGTCTTGTCTACTCTCACTGTCGTGCCTCTTTGGCCTGTCCTGGACTTGTGCACCTTTCACCTCTGGCCGCTTCGACCGCTGCCCCTGGCCACGCATGTTGACATCCTGGCTCAAACGCTGGGTTTCCTGATCATGCTCATCCCTAACTTCCTGCCTCTTTGTCCAGGTCCCTTGGTCTCGTGCGCCCTGGTTTTCCTGCCGTTTGAGTCGTCGTCCCTGGTCTAGAGGAGCCTCATCCCGCCTCCTCGACCGACTCTCATGGCTGTGCCGACTTTCGTTCTCCTGCCTCGCTGGCCGAGAATCACGATCGTGCTGTCTCACAGTCTCCTGCCTCCCAGGTCCAGGTTCTCTATCATGCCTGTCTGCGCTTTCTCGCCTCCTTGGCCTGGATCCATGGTCTGGAAGGCGTTCATCCCGCCTCTTAGACTGCGAGGGCTGATCGTGCTTGTCGCCCTCCAGTCTCAAAGACACATCGCCGTTGGAACGATCGCCATTCCGACCCTCTCGGCTGCGACCACCCCGACCGTGCCCTGCCTCCCGCCCTTCTCTCCGCGACCGGCTGCTCTCTGCATCATCGGCACTCCTGTGCCGCTCCAACACCTGTCCCTTGCTCTGCCCATGCGCTGTGGCCTTCCCATCCTTCCACGACGGCCGACTGTTCAGGTCCATCTGCTCCTGAACGGAGCAAGGCGGACGTTGACCCCAAGGTCCACGGGCACTTGCCTCGCTTGGCCCCCCACCCAGCGCCTGATTTGCGCCCAACGGCCTTGGAGGCTCAGGCACACCATCAGAATGCTGGCGGACTGCTCCCCGTGGCTGACCCTGGGCATTTGGATGTGCCTGCTGGGGAGGTGGACCAGGACGACCCTGGACACCCTGCGGCACCTGGCTGCCCACTGGCTTCGTCCTGAGATGTGGTGGTGGAGGGGGCTGCGGTCTGGACGATGAAACTGAGCTGCCCTCTGGGGTCTTTTGGCCCTGTGCATCCCATGCTGCATTCGGCCTGGACGGCGATGCGAAGTCGCCCTCAGGTGCCTTTCGAACCTGTGCGTCCCGAGCCGCATTTGCATGGGACGGCTGCTTCAGCAGCACTGGGGTCTGGTAGCGCATCCTCATGGACAGGTCATGCCTCACCCTCTCGCGAGCAGCAGCAGCCGCCTTCTCCTCGTCCTCCACCTGTGCCTCCCAGTCCATGTTCCTGCCCTCCGTTGGGCCATCATGCCTAATTGCAAGTTGGCCCATGTGCTGCCCCTCTTCAGGTATGTCTGACATAGCAGCCGTAGCTGCCTGTTTGGCAGCTTCAGCTGCACGCTGCATCTCAGCCCTGTCGTCACCTGACCTTTCATGAGCCTGCGGAGCTGTAGTTCTGTCACCTGTCATGCCATCGCTGGGCACCACTACAGCCGTGTTGCACGTTTCTTGTGTCCTTTGCTGCTTTGAATCTGCTTCTTCCAGGTGTTTCACAAGCCTCACATTACCATCGCCAGCCTGTGTTATAGCAAGACCACAGCAGAATTTAGGGCTCTTTGGTTGTGGATGGGGATAAGGAGACACAGCAGCCAGGTGCGCCTGGGCACAGGCTCAAAGCATCTGCAATGCTTGTGGTCCTCTGTGGCAAGTTGGATTGTGATCGACAGCATACAACATCTGCAAATCAGCAACAGTACGTTTCAGCGCTCTCCAGTGCAAGCTGTTGCATGCAATGACAATATCGAGACAGAGGCAACTGAAGTGTATACCAGTCATCAAGGCAGCTTGAACAACCATTCCGCACCCACCTGATGCTGTGGTCCTGCCGCCGGTTCAGCCTCCATCATCCTCTGCAAAGGAAAAGTGATCAATCAAAACAAAACTCAACCAACGAAACGAAATCAACAAAATTCGGACAGTGTGTTGGCAGTGCCTCCTTCTGTGCGCAGCTAAATAACACTTGCCGCAAATATGAACATAAACCTACAAGTTCCTTCATCTTTGAGCACAACAATTCTGACTGCAACCCTCAGATTGCACATATCCAAGAGACTGGTCCAGATATTGGCTTTAGACTGCCAGCATGAGCATAGATACCCACTGTTCACACATCGAACACATAAACCACACAGATGACCAGTAACAAGATTTGATTGCACAGCATGACTATTGACATACACGTGCAAATTTGAAAGCATGAAATGTGAAATGCAAACGTGAAAATGATAACACAAACACCTGACACGAAATGCAAGAATGTGACGTGCATGTAAAAATGTATGCCATGCGTGAGAACTGGCATATACCTACAAATGATGTACGACCGGGCACGAATGACGAATGGCCTGGAAACCTCCCACCTTGGCCTCCATCTCTTGCACCCTGCGCCTGAGCTCAGCTTCATACTCCTCCCTTTCCACGTCCCTTGCCACTGTCACCTCACCATGGCCAGTTGCCCCTTCAGGGCCCTCAACTCTGCGCCCACCAGGAGGTGGAGGCGGTGGAGGTGGTGGCGGAAACAGTGAGGCGTCCATGTACATGCTGCCTCTGTAGTCATGGTCTGGTCTGTAGTCGGGGTATGGCATGCCTTGACTGTATGGGGGCGGCCCAGGATAGGGGCCCTGCATGTGAGGGCTGTGATAGAGTGGCATGGCGGTGCCAGCTGGGTAGGGACTGGGAGGCCCCATTCTGTGGGGAGGTGGGTACATACCGGGGCCAGGTCCATAGACAGGGCCGCTGTCTTGTGGATGTGACTGGCTTCTGCCATGGTACTCGCTCATCCGGTAGTCGTTGTCCCATGAATAGCCACCATAGGATTCTGTTGGTGCATAGCGCTCGTCTTCAAACCTGATAAAACCGCCACCAGATGCTCACAACGTACTGGCATCAAGGAATGGATGAGAAGTAGGTCACGTGCTGCTCTTGCTTGGTTTGGTGCATTCATGTGAAAGCCAATTGCATCCATTCTTGTGGAAGGGGTGGATGATTCTCCATGACTGATTGTGGAGAGTTGCATAATGGGTACAATGCCGTTGAAAAAGAATTCTGAGACCAACTTTGAGGCCTGCAAAGAATGATGTAGAAGTCTCCTGTGTATGAGGAGGAACATGCAAGGGAACTAGAAAGCTGCTGAGTGGAGGAGGGTAAAGATCTGGGCATTCTTGGTCATAGGTTTGTTGCAAGGAAATGCTGGTAAGAGGGCCACACAGTCTGTTGCAGGGAAGAGGGCACTGGGGGTAGGACAAACGAATGTATCAAATTCTGTGCCACAAGCGAGATTCAATACTCGGCCCGCTAGCTTGGCGAGTTCGGCACATATCGGTGCTGTGACATGCCGCCTGCATCAACGGCAGTCACCAATGTCACCGAGAGCGTTCTCACACACCATCCAGGTCTCTGGGCCCTCTGTGCTGTCTGTTGGTAGCCCCGCCGATCATCTTCACTCCACTCAAGGTTCTCACTCTGGCAGAAATGAACACGGAGACAGTCAGTGGGCCCCTTCTCACCAAGGCTACCATCGGCACAGCAGCACACCCACTTGACAAGACCATCGCCTTTCGTCACGTTGAAAAGCGAGCCTGCATCATTTCTACTTTCCAGCCGCGCCCCACCAGACGACAGGGGACCCCCCCAATCGCAACCCCACCCCCACCTGCGTCTTCCTCAGCTCCATGCCCGCCCCCTGGCTAGGCCTGTCGCCCTTCTTGGCCTTCACCGGCTGCTTCAGGTGGGAGGCGGCCTCCAGCGTGGGATACTCCTCTTCCCCCAGCACCTGCGTCTTGGATCGAGGCACCGGTCGGGGGGGTGGGCGGGCCGGGGCGGGCGGGGCCCCCGCTCCCCCTCCAGTGTGCCACGCCCCGCCGCCCGGCCTGTACGGCCCCTCGCTGGCTTCCGGGCCCCCGGAGGCATGGTGCTCCTCCGGGGGCTTGTGCCAGCCGCCTCCGCCGCCGCCCGAGGGCGGCACCAGCTGCGTGTTGGGATCGTTCCCGGAGTGCTCCTGCGCGCCAGGTCGTCAGCAACACTCCTCGCAACACTCCTTGCATTCACTGAGCGCGGAGCGACGCGAGGCCAAGTCGCGCGCCACGCGGATGTTCACCAAGACAGCGAATTGAGGAATGCGAAAGCGGCGAGTTTGACGAGGAGGCGGCGGAGCGCGGCGAGGGGCACAACCCGCCGGGTGTCGCACCTTCCTCAGCGATGGCAGATTGACGGGCTTGGGGATCGCCAGCTTGCCTCCCGCCGGGCCGGACCCGAATCTCGTGCGCTGCACAGCGGAGGCGCAGTCGCGCCGGCGAATCAGCATCTCCCCACGGTCCAAAATCCCATCCCCGCGCGCCGCGGGTCCAAATCCCAGCCGAGTAGATCTTGCACCCAGCATGCGGCGAGCATCGAGCCCACCCTTCGGCCGGGCGGCGCCCGGCGCGCCCAAGCTGCCAAAAGCCGCGCAGCGGGGACCGGCTCCGCGACGCCCCCCCCCCCTGGCTCCCAACCCACCTGGCTGCGGTGGCCCTGCAGGATGAGCATGCCCGACCGCATGACGCCGCTGGTGGCGCCCGAGCCCGACGGCTTCTCCGAGGGCCTCTCGAAGAGGCTGTTGAGGTTGGCATTGTTGTAGCGCTTCCCGGTGGACATCTACTCACCGAACAAGCAACCGACCGTGTCTCCGGGCACAGGGGAGAGGACACTCTGGCGCCCGGAAACCAGGGACTTGGGGCGGGGGACGGGGGAGCAAGGCGGTCGGGCGGGGCCGCGCGAGAGCGCGGTCAGCGGCAGGGGGCTGCCGCAAAGAGTATAAGAGCCGGTTCGGCGGGGAGCACGGGGGGTGCTCCACGGACACGGCGGTGGATTGGATGCGGTGTGGGTGCGGCGCGGGCACGAGTACCCGTTGAGAGCACCGATGGGGCGCAACACAGCGCCTCGGCGCCCATTCCAGCCCAGCCAGTACATTGCTGTTGGTGTGGAGGAGGACGCCGCGATTCGGAAAATGCGACGGGGGTGGCGTGAGTGGATCTGCCGTTCCTCTGCTGCATGTTGAATGTTGCGCATTGCGTATTGAATTTCAGACACAAGGTCGGCTGCGTTGAATGTGAATGAGCGATGCATGTCGATTTGCTGGCTGACTAATCCATTGATTGATGTCCTGAAACTCCATAGGCAGTCATGTTCTTAGCTGTGGCTCGCACAGCGGGCATGAACTTCTTTCTCGGCCACAAGGGGGTGCCCATTGCAATCCATGTATCTTGTTCTGCTCATTAAGTAAGAAGTAGTTCACGGACACAGACAACAGCAAGAATCCATTGTCCCACCAGCTTTCCCATGCTTGATTTTTTCCCCGTATTTTACAACATGCCCTTTCAGATCCTAAGAAGAGAGGGGAGAAATCCCAACCTCCTGAACTCGACAATCTCCACATCTAGGTTGTGGGAGGGAGAGGTGAAACGCAGTCTCCACTGCTCAGGCCTTGGTCCAAGACTGCTCCCAGTATTGTGCGGCCAATTATTTATGATATGCGGGGCGCGGCCTGAAGCAAGCTCAGCCATGGAATTCCAGCAAGTTCCAGCAATTTTGACAGAAGTGGTGTCGCCAAACATTTTCTTGTTTCTGACAATGCGCTTACATGGATGACACTGTAAACCATCGACAGCTCTTTGAGCACCATTTACTTGACACAGAATCAACAATGGTTTTGCTGCGCTCGCCAGCCCGTAAGGCGCCAGCCAAACTGCCGATCGTAGAGAAAGATTGCCGGACCGTCAGGCAGCCCAAGGTCAAGGTAGCTCAAAAGCGTGACCGAATTCGGCATGCCAGTGAGGTTGGCAAACAAGACCGTAGGGACGCCCATCCAAGCTTTTCAACCCTAGTGGAGCTTTGTCTGGGAGCAGTCACTCCTCCAGGCCCTGCAACATGTTCAAATAGCAAGATAACCCGTCGAACCTAGCAAGATGCTGAAATCTGGTCGCTCACAGGATGTCGACCGACTGCACATGACAGCGGCATATGAATCCCTTGATCGGTGCAATCGAATCCCATTGTTGTTTGTTCGACGATCGCCCCGAAACCAAGCCAATACAAACAGAGTGCCATCTTCACCCACAATGAGTGGTTCTCCCCACCGGGGCCCTTACAGAAGGGCCCTCTTGGTGATCCAAACTGCTAAGCCATTTTTTCACTACATGGCGCAATCGCAATGATTTGTGAGGGCATGAAGTAGCTTTGATGGCAACAATTATTGTAAAATGGCGTCACAGTTGGGTCGCTAAAATTGGTGTTCTCTACCAGTGGAGCTTCACAAAACTTCAGTAGAGGTTTAGGGCGCGCACAACATATGTTGAGGCTCTATTGAGCTCTTTGGTAAGTTTTAAATACTCGCATAATAAGAAGCTATGATTGAGACTAGGACAAACATTTCTGTCGCATATCCATTTTTCACCATACATGTTAAGCAACTGTAGCTCAGCTCATAGTTATTGAATCGCTATAGCATGCACAATTGAACCTGCAGGTCCAAAACCATGCAGTTCCAGCAATTTAAATCTCAAAACAGCAAATTAGATACCCACATAGGCCAACTGTGAGCTATCGGCTTCATCAAAAACTGCCATTTTGTTCAACACTTTTGCCCATTGTGCACTCATGCATTCAAATACAAACGCATCTCACCGATCAAGCCTCCCTGTTGCCGCATCTAACACTTCCTCTCTTCTTTTTGACATGTCTGCTATATGTCCTCCTCATCCATCGCATGTTACGCATGATCGCATGTTATGCATCAATTCATGCACTGATTGCTTTTTGCAGATTACCCAAGTCCTTGGTATTCCGCAGGTCCTAGGTTCTGGACCTGAATCTGTGGACGTCTTAATTTTCAAAACCAAGATTGAATCAATGGATTCAATAAGCCCAACTTGGGAATTGCGGTATTTTCTTCCGTTCCTTGAGTCTCCAACCCTTTGATAAGCTGTCCGCAGAAACAGATGTTTCAATTTCCTTCGAAACCTTTCGCTTTTGAGTGAAGCACATCAACCCAAATTCTGCACAGCTCAAAAGGCACATGTGGTATCCTATGCTTAACATGTTAAGGATGATCTTTAATTATACAATACCTTGTCAGGGCCAAGAATTCTTTTGGTACAACTTGCAACCTCCAGTGACGAAAGCACCACGCTGAGGCATCCAACGCAAATCAGATCGCCAGAAACGCTCCCCAACACACCTTGAATGCCGATAATCCGTAACCAGCAGTGGGACCAGCTGTGGGGCGCGGATCTGGTCGCTCCCAGGAGTTCATGTCATTGACCCTCATTGCCGTTCCTCATCTCTGCTTGCCAACAGCACAACTAGTCCAGCAAATTGCAGGACCGAGGCCATTCCCGGCCATCCAGCGATCTGCAAGCTGACCTCACGTGGGGCACGCACACAAGTCCACAAGCGACGCTCGAGCTTGAGGTGCTCATCGCCCAGGCCGGGTCACCATACAAGTGCCTGCACAAGCCGAACAATCGCGTGAAAAATAAGGAGCATTTGGGCGTGGGTAACCATATATGTGTTGTTGCATTCCGCCTGCACGTGCGTGCACGCGCACGATGCCCTGATAGGCGTCAGCCCCTATCCTTGACGTGATCACCATCCATCAACCCATGATCAATCCTGTCATCGCGCATCAGGTGCCGGGACCATGTTTTGTCAAGTGATTGGGGCTCATCCATGCCAAAACAGGATCACTGCCTCTAGAATTTTACTAATGGAGACAGTTGATGGGATACTGGAATCATTTTTTTAAGCCCTGGTTTGAGCAATTCTCAGCCGATCCTCGATCACAGTATGGATGCATCATTGTGTTTTCCATCGATTTGGGCCTGACTTCAATTCAGCGGAAGCTGCATCAGTTGACGTGCAGTCGTTTCAACGTGATCTATGGACATGTACATGTTGCCAATATTTTCTCCAACCAATCTTCGAGGATTCAACGATGGTATAGACAAGTCAATCCAGTCTACCGACACGAACGATTTCTGTCATGATTCCATCCAATTTCTTTGAAGACATTTATCTGCGATTTCGATGCGGAGTTCACTTCCTGGAGATTGAACAGCAACGACACCAACCATGGCAAACAATTCCAGAGTTTTCAAGGCGATTGTGTCTGTTGTGCCACTCAGTTCCGGAGGATGATATTCATTTTCCCTTCCACTGTCACGCCTATGACGTCATCCGCGGAAGCCACACAAATCTTTTCCGATCTCGCAGTGCCAAAGCACGCTTTGCTTCAGTCCCCGCTCGCCAACTGGCAAAGACACTCCTTTTGATGTACTGTCATCGACAAACGCTTCCTGGCACTAGGACTTAATAGATTCCTAGACTTTGCTTGTGTTGTACATGAGATTTCATGAACTGATAATAAACACTGCTCTTCGTGGGCAAATAGGAAGCTGACGGCTTCCTATTCTATTAAACAACAATGATGATGATGATGACAAAACACGTGTCATTACATTATCATACTGTGCTGTATGACAAATGCAGTCTAAGGAATTTGATGATCGATTCATGTACGCGGCCGACACCTTGGGTTCGAGAGGGCTCCAGGGTCCCAGGCGGTCCGTCCCACATGGGTTACGCATCCTCCTGGGGCAAGTGTGCTGACGCAACACAATTATTGTAGAGTAGCGGAATGTTCTGTGTCCAGCTGACGTCGCCGAGCTGGCACAGGTTCCATACCGTCGACTCACCTGCTTAGCCAGTATCAAAATATCAAAATATATTGTGCAGAGTTTAACGATTGTGTAATTTCACTGCGCTTGTCCAAAGCCACGCTAGAAGCGAAAGGGGTTGGACAACACAGCACCGTGTTTTCCAAGATAGGAGAAACAGTAAACGCCGCCGTGTTCTGGTGTGCATAGTTGCCCACTTCATAGAAGGCCTCTCCTTGACTTCAAACAGAAGTGTGTGAACTGTTGTCAAGCTGTGCACATGTCACTTTCGACCACGGAGCGCCAGTTTCAGGCATGGCGACACAGCACTGTCTGTGGTGATGCACCATGTGGCTAGGCAGCAAGCTAGCGTGGTGAGAAATGTGCAGCACCGCTGCAGAAACGCAGAACAAGGTGCCTGTCGGGCTCGGAATGTTTTCTTGATCAGTGTGACAAATGCCGTCCCTGATCATAACAATAAAATGCGCTCACGTTGTACAACAAGGCCCCTCTCTCCTAGCGGACATAAAGAGCAAACAAATTTTCCTCCCCGTCACAGTACCGATTCAACTCCAACTAAAGCAGTCTTTCTAGCGACTGCAGCATAATCGTGATTACCACGGCACCAAAACAGGAGCAGTCTTATCCCACATTCACCTCAGGTGCAAGCACGACGCGTGTCAGTAACAACACACACAACTGCCTCCCAGAACTGCAACAAGCTATGTCCCTAGATGCTGATACAACAAGCATATCGGAATCTCGACATACGCATTGGTAGGCGACCACATTCATGGCCATCTGATCCTCGACTGGCCCCATGCCAACAATCTACAGCCCCGAGCTCCTGAATGACGCCATCATCCCACGCAACAGGTCCCTCTTTTCCCTAAGGCTGCTGAAGGTCAAATCTCCTTCGATCCTGGGCACAGCATCCTTAGGTATGCCAAGGGCCTCCGCCTCCTGGCACAGCATGCCATACACAGTGGCCCACCTCTCCAGTGTCTGCATGCCAACTTCCTTGCCCTCCCACAGCTCCATTTCGTCCAGCACCCTTGCGCTGGCTGACAGTTCAGCCAGTTCTGACGCCTCCGAAAAGGCCACAGACCCTGGGAGACTAGACTCGTTGCTGCCCCCATCGGGCATTTGAGGGCACACGCCCAGCACAGCGCAAAATGGGTCTGGACAGTGGTCCTCTGTTCTGGGCTGTGAAAGCATTTCTTCCATCGTGACAGCATCCTCTTCATGTGCAAGGGAAGCCACATCTAACAACCCATCATCATCCTCTCCACTCACACTCGAGACTACCTGTTGGCACGCCAAGATTGCTCAGAACACCCAACAATACAATGTCTTCACAAGAACATTTTCCTACCTTCACAAGATTATGCCAATGTGGCACCAGGACAAACACCCCAATGGAGACTACATGCAGCATAAATCCTCACGGATTGTGAAACTGCGGCAAAACACTGCCCCTCCATCCATTTGGCACTGCGAAAATGGTACCTGCAGCTCCCCATCGACTGTCGCCTCCACGATGCTGTCCGAAACCAAGCTGGGAGCTTCGTCCTCTGGTATCCAGACAATGCTCCTAGTGTCCTCAAACCCGGCAGAATCGAGCAGACTGCCACATTTCACAAACCAAAATGCTGGTCAGCTCGATGCAGGGACATATTCAAGTTCCCCATACAGTGCATCCCCTGATTGTGTCCACTTTGGCCCTCGTCCAACTTGCTTGACGCCAGTCAAATGGTCCCAGGGGAACAAGTATGTTGGACAACCACCCCAAAATTGGTCCATTTCTCCCACTGGAGTGTGCAGCTGTGCGAATCGCAATTCAAATATGCTTCATGGTACAGGAGTATGCAGTCAATTCTTGAGGGCCCTTCAATCCACCTACATGCACCATTCATCCATCCATTTCTGTGTACCACTTCGTGGATATGCATCTTTCTTGTTGAGCATCTTCGATGGTTTCCACTGAGTGCAATTTTTCTACTTGCACCATTGGGGCATTTAGGGCTGAAAGTCCAAACACACCACTTCCACAGTGTGGGTGTCCACAGAGTAGGCAATGAAGCTCTGGAGTTCTCTCCTTAACTCTGTGTTTGGGCAAAACCTCACACACCCTCAGATCACCTAGTGGCTTCTGACCATTATGAACCGATCAACTAAACTGTTGAGTTGCGCATTCTCCAGCCTGAGCCACTGTAACCTTTACCTGGTACAGCTTCTCCTGAATGAACTTTACACACTTATCCTGTTTCAGAACGCGACATAGCCGTTTGATGCAAAGACATATTCAGTTCAGTGGCCGTGACCGCACAAAATCAGCATTATGGCAGGCAGCTCACCTCTTCACCAGCTCCACCTGTTGCTCCAGTGTCCTCTCAAGCCAAGCTGTCACTGTCTTCTCTGGAAACCAGTGGCTCGAAAACGAGACCAGCACCTTCCCACCAGGCTTCAGCACCCTACGCACCTCCGACAAGACCTTCTCGGGGTACACCAAGTACTGCAGCCCCATGCAGCACAGCACAGCGTCGAATTTGTCGTTGGGCAGTGGCAGAGTGGGATCATTGTTCAAGTCTTGAATGAAGTATCCTGTGAGGGCAGGGTTTGCGGCCAGCTCCCCTTGGCACATTCCGTGCCCCTCCACTGCTGCCAGTTCTAAGGCGCATGGGAGGTGGGAGTCGTCACTTGAGCAAAGGTCCAGCACATAATCACCTGGATGCAGGTGCTCACCGTACCATCCTGCAGGCAAAATGTGCAAAAAGTTCTTGCCAAGTACAATATGTACCAGTTTTCAATGGATGAACAACGCCTCCCTGCAACAGTTAGCCGATGCTTGGATATGGTTATGTCCTCAAGTATCCACATCCCAAACATGCCAACACAGCATGGATGAGCATCAGACATGGACGCAATAACACATCATTCTTGCCTGTGCATTATGTTCCACTGCAGCATAAAGATGGTGTGGAATTGATGCTGGCACTGAGATCATTGGAATATCATCAAGCGCCTGCAGTTGCTCAAAGAGGCACAAGACGAATTCCAATTCAACGCAACTTGCCCCAGAATGCCCACATCTAGCACCAATTCTTACAAAATTTCAGAAGACATCACATTGATGGATCGAAGGAACTGCTATTTCTTTCACATTTGTGACCTTCGCTGTTCTTTTCCTGCAGAAAGGTCCAACAGTTCGCAATGTAGATGGACATGGATGACTTTGTTGCCTTCCTAATTTGAGCAAGGTAAAGAGCACAGGCTGCCCATTCGCGCCAAACTTGGCACAGTATTCGCAACTCTGTCATTCTGCCAATGTCACCCACAGAGGCGACATGCTGGCCAGCTGCAACGCTATGAGCAGTCCTGGTCTGCACTTGCTCATGTCCACCGCTTGGCCATGTGCTTGCCCCATGCAACTTCGCACCTTTGAGACGGTTGCAAAAACCTTCATCCACATAACGCACAAGTCTCGGGCGTGAATAAAATATTGAGTCGTTCTGCTCATCTTGCCGAGTCCTCTCTTCAGCAGTCAATACCCCTGCTCCCCAAAGTCACAAAATTTCCTCAAACCTGCAAGCGCATAGTCAGTAGCAGGACCAGGGACATGAATGGCACTGTTGCAGACAGAAGCGAGGAGCCAGGGGTGGCTGGGTGACAAAGGCACAATCAGTGGATTGAATTTTGATGCACCTCTCCATCTCGTACAGTTGAATGTGGATTGCCGTGCGATTTTGGTGGAGTGCACTATGTGGTGAAAGGTGCATTCACGGATTCCTTTGAGTGAGGAATTGTGGCTGGCATCCTCTCGAATCGGCTAACAGACAAGGCATCTGCTGGAAATGAATATGGCCACCATAGTATCTCTGTCCCAAAAGTATTGTCGCTTCCGCTTCCCTAATTCGAGCGAACGAAGGTCAAAACATGCAAGCCGGAAAAGCCGACCAAAACAACGTCGATGTGCCTTATTGAGAGCTGTCCATAGAGTTCTCAAACGTAGCAAACCGTGCTGCCGTTCTTGAGATACTTGCGGAGGAGCTGAAATGCGACTTTGCATTTCGTATGAACCTCAAGAGGAGCAGCATGGCGATTTCATCTTACCCATCGAAGGAGGTTGATCAGGCTGAGCTGTCTCTAGGAAAGATGATTGACCTGGTGGTTTGGTATGCATTGAAGATTCAGCTGAATTCCAAGCGGAATCCGCAAAGCTAGCGAAGAAGGTTGCTGCAGATTTTGGGGTGTCAAAAAGAATTGTGTGTATGATGGACAAAGGCGAAGAGGCACCTAGATTACTGCAAGAGCATTGACCTAGCTGACTCCAAAACGGCCTATATTGGTGCCAACATGGCCTATCGTTGAAATTGAGAATTTCGAAGACATGAGTCAACATAGCGGGAGAGATGGTCCACAAACAATATGATTGCAATGATACCAAACTCTTGAAAGGTTGCAATAGGACCTATTTATTGCCTAACAACAAGGTTCTTGAATAGTATCGAGGAAATAGGCTGCCACACATGGGGATGACGTGAGCACAAAACTATGGGGCGTTGAAGGCCTGACGGAGATGGACAGGGCTGCTTTTGATGGGCCTGTCAATTTCTTGCTGTGTGACGATGGCTAATACAACCAACAACCACATCAACCCAAAATCAACTAAAGAACCTGAATCTTGGAGCAGATTAACTAATTGAGTTGATCCTGCAAAGTTATACCAAAATTAGAGAAGCAACAATACTTTTGGGACAGAGGTAGTATGATTATGAACATGAACTGTGAGGCAAAATTCATGTCTGCTGCAAGCCAGCGTGGAAGCCAATTCGGCGTATCAAGGACCACCTTCCGAAGATGTTCAAACCTCTGAACAACAGAGCAATTTTGAGCAGAGGTCAGGAGAATATACTCAGTAGGCTTCTGGGCAATATTAGAAGAAGCTGTGCATGAGCCCAAGACTGTCGTGTTGTGTGCCAACATACCACCCAAGTCGATGTCCTGGCTCAAAGACATGACAGATGTCCACACTGATTCCTGATTCAACCTGTCATCCCCAGTGGCTGAATCTCCCGCATCCCCATCATCAGCCGCAAACTGCCAAAAGCATCCAAATATTCAATCTCCCTAAAAACACTGACAGTGCAAAGCGCTGCTCATGCCCAGCATTGCGAATAATGAACGCCATTGATTAACATATTTGTTCCACACCAGTCTCATGGTGTGACAGCTGCTGTCAAGTCCTGTTGATCGCAGCCTTTCCAAGGTCAAGAAGGAAATAGCATGAACATGTGTGGACACCACCAACTCTGCTGGATTTGTGCCAACGCTCTGGTACTGGCACGAAAGCAATAGGATCAGCTGTTGGGGAATTATTGGATGCAATCATGGGACTTGGAGGAGCAGTGATGCGACTTCATCCGCTTCAAAGCGGTGGTGCCTTGGCACGGTCGCCCTGTCCCTGTTGTCCAATTCTCCTGCTTCTAGATGAATGGCTGGCGAACCAGGTCTATTCAGCGTTTCCACACGCCCTGGCGCCGTCCACGGGACGAATTTCGCGATTGTGGACATGTTGGACTTTAGCAGCGCGCGATGGAGGTAATGTCCCCTGGTGCTGATCCCCCTACACTCCGATTAACAACAACAAAAGCGACGCACCTCAGAATCGTCCTGCCGCGCTCTCACCGTGCGGCCGACGCCTCGGGCTTGCCTCGAGCCTCCCCCCCGCCGGCCAGGGCACTGCCAGCGCCCAGGGACTCCGCGGTGCGGTCGACTGCGAGGGGCCGCGACCTCGGGGTCGCCCGCCTCCCCCGGCAGGGGCGCCCGCCGCAGGGCCAATTGTGAAGGTGTGAACGCCATTGCTCCCGAGTGAAGGGTGTCAGTCTTGGGTGGCCGCTCCCAGGCAGCGGAGTATCAATGACAGGAATGCCTGGTGACGTTGTTACGATGTCAGCAACTGGTCCAAGATGGATGGGTGGTGGTCTGTGTACTGAGGAGAAATGCCAGAGGGAGAACTCAGTGATTCAGTTGGTCCCCGCAGATGGGTGTCCGTTCGGGTGACCGTGCCTGCCTCCGAGATAAACCCATCCCGAACGTTGCATGCCAACGCCTTTTTGTGCTTATTTGTTTGGAAATCGATCAGTCCGACGAAATTCAGAAAGGGATCCTCGGCTGCTTGACCGATTGTCAGCCGAAACGAGAATGCACCCATTGAAAGGCCGGTGAAGCATCTGCCGCTTCCAGCAATGGGGTGCCATTTTGTCAGTGACGAGGTGTCCCGTGCCCAGCAGCTAGATGAGCGGCCAACGACGTTATTGTGGACCACCTTGCATTCCGCTGGGCCCACGCTCTCCTACACAGGCACAAAAAGCGTACATACATGCTTCGTATATTCTGGAATAATTCTCGCTATCTGCACATTACTTTGTTTACATATTTATGCGCGTTTCATGTCAGTACCTTATGCTCGAATCTTATCGCCTTCCCTTTACGATGTATGTGTACACAGATATAAATCTGAGGTGGAGGCTGTTGGCCAAGATCGAAATGTAATCTACAAGCAAAGAGCGTTTGGCGGTTGTGTCAGAGTTCAAAATGAAGGTTAACACCACAGAATTTAAAAATTCATTGCTTCCAAAGCGCATGGGCGTCCTGGAGTAGTCAGGCCTTGCTTAGCAAACGCCCGCCTGGGATACCCGTACTTCTGTTGGCTAGGGCATTTTTTTTACTTTCGTTTGCTTGTTCATACATTTGCTCGTTTCTTCAGTGGACGACCAGCGAGCAGCGAGTTTTGGAGTATAGCTTGCACCAATTCTGTGATTTATGGGCTGGTGTGGTGGATCATTTTCGGTATGATTGCTCATGATGGAGATTATGATAAAAACCGTGCTCTCATAGGTGCAATATTTTGACCAAAAGATGGAGATGCCCCACGAATCCCCTTTGGAAGCCTCATGAAGCTTCTCTTGATGAAGTTGTGGATGCTGCCCGCAGGACGGTGTGTAGCACATGCCGGTACTTTCCATCACCACCGGAAAGTCGCATTTCGATTCGTACCAAGCTACCCTGGCAAATGCTATCGAAATACCAGCCAGTCTTTTGGGCCACCAGAAATCGAGGTAGACGTAGATGCAACATTACCTTTGCTGCATCACCACTGATGGAATCCCGAGCAGTGCTGCAGCAAATTCGCAATGGGAATTTGCAAAGAATCTGTATTGGCGTGTATTGGCGTTCATGCCAACTTTGCGTCAATGTTGATTGATACGCAGGCTTTCATCCAGCTTTGTTCGGAGTTGCACCAAGGACAATGCACCCATGATGCCGCATAAAATTCTAGCCAAATTCCAGAGCACCCATATCAATCAGTGCCAGGCATATCCAGTTGCCCTCTTTAGCAGCTTGCTATACACCATTTAGATAAATTTCCACCAATTTTCAGGGCATTTTCGTCATTTGTGACAGGTATATACCGATTACAACGCAAAATCAATGTTTTTCCAGTTAGAAAAATCCCTCCTAGTACATGGTAGGCTGTGCGATAAGGTTCGGCAGAAGTTGGGCAAATATCCGCCTTGTTTGCTCACAGTCATTCATGGATGTCTTTCGATGATCATCGAAATAGACACCAAATTTTTCCAACAATGCTATGTACTGTGCGTGTTTTGCTTGCCTATCTCGAAACATACAATAGTTAATCTAAGGATGTGATCACTGTTCGGCGCACCAACATTGCGTTTAGAATAAAATCGTTGCTTGCCAAGCCACTACGATAGAAATGGCCGTAACATGGATAACAATACTTCCAAGCTGAGTTGCCAGCGGAGCTTTCCCGCTTCTCGGCAGTGCCAAGAAGTATAATTCCACCCCGTAGCTCCTGCACATATACTTGGAGAACTCCAAGCCCCGAAAAGCCATTATAATGGCTTTTCGGGTTATTAATTAATAACTTCCTAACTCGCTGTCAGGGTGCAGCGCATACACAAGCCTAATTTGTATGAGCAAAAGTGATGTGACAATATTGCCATTTATGGTTGGGGTCAAATTTCAGACTAGAATGCCTGAAATTGCAAGGCGATTGGTTGTACATGAGCATGTGCGGAAGGGGACATATCTGGCAGAAAACAAACCCTCTTACAACAAGCAACGCCATATGGAATGTCCCAGACCCGAAAGTGAGAGAAACAAATTGACGCCTCCAATTACTGTAGAATCATGATGCAAAGTGTCCAGCACATGGTCAATGTGTTCTATCCTTTCATCATGATTTTCTAGATGGACCTTTTGAAAACTCTCCGATCGAAATTTGACGGCAAGGTTCCTCGATATGTTTAACATCCCAAATCAATTCGATTTCTGCCTTTTTATGTAATCAGGAACGCTGACAGACTCCTGTTGGAAGCGATCTTGTGTGATATCAACAGAGAAATGTCTCAGTGCGATGTGAGGGTTAGGCAAGTATCAACGCTATCTCCAACATTCTCAATTGTCTGTTGTGCGCCCAGTCCTCCTTGTGTTTGTTCTGATTGTATTCAGATCATTTTGTGGTGCGTACGCCTCACAGAGGCCGTCAATTTACCAGGTTAGTGATGACAACAAGCGAGCGAAGTCTTTTGAGAAGTAATTTTGCCTCAGACGAGGGATTTGGCTTTGCTTTGTGGACTGAACAAGGGCCACCGCCGGCGTAATTTACGGGTTCGTGTATCCCTGGATATGTACGCCGAGAAGCGCAGACAGATCCATATAGTTGTACATCCAGTTGTTGAGCGGGCGATTGGCAGCAACTGCGTCTTCTTGGATTGGTGTATTGCGTTGTGTGGATGCAGTTTCCTCGTTGAGAAGTCTGTGCCCTTCTTCTGGGATACCCCCCTGGTTTCTTCGACGCATGTTCTTTCATGCGGATCTCACGGGGCGGCTTCCTGATCTCCATTTGCATCCTTGTGTATGGCAGGGTACGTAATTCACAAAACCTACGCGAGTGCTCGGTACAGCGGGACATGTACACCGTACTATGAGCTGTACTCCCGTACAGGATGTCTGCACCGCAGCAAGATGTTCTGAACGTTCAGACATTTTGCAAGGGGGTTGCATGCAGCTCACGGGCCACAGAAGGAGACGACGTGTCACAGCAGCCACAGGGATGCAAGCAACTCCAAAACATCTTGCTCGTACAAGAAAGAAATCCAGTACTATTGTATGTGTACTGACCGACCCGCCCACAATCTCGTGACGGAGAGTGCGTATAGCGGCCACGGTGTCTAGCGGGTCAGCGTAGCGACGCGTCAACGCGACAGTGCCCCTCTGCCGGCACGGGAGCAGAGTTGTCCAGGCTGCTGGGGAGAAGACGGCGGCTCACAAATCACAACCGCCGGCTTTACCATTGCACCAAACTGGAGACTGGCCCCAGCGACCTGCCACAGGGCTGCGCCTGCCCGGATTCCCCGCTGAAAGAACGGCAGAGCTGCCTGCGTGTTATCGGCGACAAACGGCACGTTGCGGTGGGAGCATCAACCCAAATCTCAACATGGTGCGGCGCCACGTTATGGGCGGAACACAAGCGCGAACGAGCCATTATGCCGCGCGGCCTCGCGATCAATCGACACAGTCGCCAGGATGAGATCACTCTGGCTGGAATGGTTGATCCCTGGACAGCCACTCTCTGCGCAAGGCGACGTCGCTATCGCAGCTCTTTCCACATTCGCGCACATGCATAGCTGCCCGCTGGAGACACACCCCACTCGGCCAAAGACCACCGCAAAAGATATTCTCTGTCCCCGCGAAGGCCCATACCAGCAGACAGGGCTCGAAAAGTAGGGCGCCGCCGCGCGCGGCGGAGACTCCCCCTCCCGCCAGCCGGGCGCGGCCCCCCCGTCCCCGGCACCCCCCACGCCCTCGGCGCCCCTCCTGCGCCGCTGCCCCTCGCATCCAGTAGTCACTCACACTCTGCCCTCATTTTTGACGCATCCCGCCTAGTCAGCGTCAGATTCAGGTGCGCCCCCGCTTCGTCCTGCCGATTTGAGGCCTCAAATCGGCGGGCCTTTGCTGCAGGGGCCCCGCAGTCAGACGGCCCATGGCCCCCGTCAGGCGTGCTCAGCGACGTGACCCTACCGCAGTGCGGGCCCCATTTGTGCAGGATGCGGGTGATGTGTGGTGAGGGAGGTGTCCGCCGCATGGCGAGTGGCCCGCCCGCCCACCCCCCCGCCCCGCCCCCGGACCTGCGCAAGCCCCTCACCGAGGCGGAGAGCGGGGCGCCCCCCCGCGTGGTGTGCGTGACCGGCGCCACGGGCTTCATTGGTGGCGCCATCGTGCGCAGGCTGCTTGCCGCCGGGCACGATGTACATGCGGCCTGCAGGGATCCGGGGGCCGTGGGCGGGCCGGGGGGCCTGCGCGGGCCGCAGGGCGGCTCCGGGCGCCTGACGCTGTTCGGGGGCGACCTGGTGGTGCCGGGGGCACTGGACGAGGTGGGTGGGCCCGCCCCGTCTGACCGACACCGCCACCCTGGCACCTTCGGCCCGAGTCTGGGCCGGCCGGGGGCCCGCCCTCGCGTGTATGTGACCACCTCCTGGCTCGCTCGCCTGTCACAGGCCATCCGGGGCTGTGACGTCGTGGTGCACGCGGCCACGTCGCTCTCATTCGCGGTGCGGCGCGGCGAGGAGGAGGAATGCATGATGCGGTCCGTGGTGGCCGGCACCAAAAACGTGCTGGGTGAGTGGCCTCCCGCGCCGAAACTGCCGGAATGAAGGACCCCTGATGCGCGGGCCATTCCGTACGGCGCCGCGCCCCAATTTCACGCCCCCTTAACCCCGGAATTTGCACCAGGGAAGAACACCCTCCCCGCCCCCCGCCCCACGGTCGCGGGCGCCAGGGCGCCCTGTGGCGACGGCGGTGAAGGCGAATTCTCCCCGACCTCCTCCAGATGCGTCCAACCCCCTTCGACGGCGCCATGATTTCCTGCTGTCGTTTCACGATGCCGATCACCGGCCCGATCAGCTCGGAAATGAATCGATCGCCCGAAATGGGGGATCCGCACGGGCCTGATGCCTCTGGGCGCGCGTGCCTCAGAATCGGTGAACAAGACGCGGTCGGTGAGGAAGGTGGTGGTGACGGCGTCCTACGCGGCGATGGTGGCGGACCCCGACGAGGCAAGCGGCCCGGTGGGAGAGGATTCCCACGCAACCTCCTGCGGGCCCAAGAAGCTGGTGTATTTCTACGCCAAGAAGTTCGCGGAGGATCTGGCCAACTACATGGAGAGGACGCAAAGGAGGTAGGAGGCGGGGGAGTGAGAGGGGGGAGCTGGGGTGGGCCGGGCTTGCGCTAGAGGGCCTTTACAGCTGTGAACATGGGTGGGCCGCATTGAAGGGTATCGCAGTGATCTGCGCGCGCCATGCATGTGTCGCCAGCCGCGCGTCCGCGACGTGGGTGCGGGAAGTCTGAACCGCGGGATTCGTGGTCGGTTTCGGAAGGCTGGGCGCTGGGCGCCTTGAGTGCCGGTGGCCGGCAGGTCGGATGTTTCTGTCCCTTCCGGCGGCCGCCACTGGGCCTTTGGCTGCGGGCAACTGGCCAGGGTGCGAGCGCAGGCTGTTGCGGCGCGGTCGGACATATTGGCAGCAGAATTTCCAAGCGTCGACCAAAGGATTGCCTGCTGGCAGTATCCAACGCGACGTCTCGCTGCGAGTAACGGGTGTATTGCTGATTTAGAATGGAATAAAGCGATTGGCCACACCGGACTGTCGACAATTTACGATGTCACAGGGGAAATGAAGTAAATAGCACAATGAGCACTATGGTCCATGAGCGCAGTTGGGACCCAAACTGAGCAACCGCCTTCCAGGTATGGGCTTGTTGCATCACAAATATGGGCTCCAGTTCCTTCTAACACACTCCTTAACTTGGCTGCGTGATGTTCCACTCAGCTGCCGTTCTCTGGACAAATCCATGCTGTGAGGTACGTGTTCAATGTTCTCTGTCCCCTTCCAGGCCCCTTGCAAGTTGGAGGCAAAGATGATGGTGCCTTCTGGATCCCTTTTCAGAGTTTTCTTGTGCAAGATTTCATATGTCCAGACGATTTATCGGAGCATAAAGCAGATGTGTGAAAAGAAGGCATCATCAAGGCCGACTGCACCATGTTTCAGGTGGAAGCTTGTGACCATTTGCCCTGGTTTCACTCTCGGACCGCCGGTAGCCACAAGGCAGGACTCAGCCTCCTTTCGGTTCATGTCCTGCCTCCTGGATGGCAGCTTTTGGCCCTGCACACCTGCAGTCGGACTGCCATTCGTTGATGTGGATGATGTTGCAGCTGCGCACTGCATCGCTGCCATCAAAGAGGAGTCCAGGGGCAGGTAAGAGTTGTGCCATGGCACAGTGATGTGATGATTGTCTTTTGAGCAGAATGGAGACGAAGAGGTGTGACACATCAAGCGATGGGGAAGTCCTTCTCTTCTGGAATCCTTGTGCAGGAGAGGTTAAATGCTGTTCCATGCTGTGGAACGTAATGTAAGAGTCCCCAAGTACAGTACAAGTGCTGCACAGCAGAAAGCAGCACAATGCCAAGCAGCTATGCAGTGAGGCACCCATGTGGCTTTGGACCTATTGTTGCACAATCATCTGCCACTGTCCAGTAGAGTACACACCAGTGCATGGGCCATGCTTGATAACTGGCATTCTTTTTTGCTATGTGTTATGTGGAAGCAACACATACCACTCAAAATTGGAGTGGGGCAGCTAGTTCTCCCCTGGAAGGAGGTGTGAGAAGGGGGTCTTGTGAGAGAAGGTTTGGTTGCATATGGATATTGGATAAAGTGGATTAAAGCCCAGAAATCTGGACTCGCCACCATGAACCGCTGTCTGCTTTTCCATGAAGTTCTGCTCAAGAGCCGTGTGCTGATGAACAGTAACTCAGCACTCCCTACCCCAGATGACTCAGTAGGAAGCATCATAAGTTATCCACCCCTCCTTGCGTCTCCCTCACCTCGCTGGGCTCTCAGACTTCTGGATCTTGTAGCTGGCAGGGGCTGCCCACACCCATCAGGTGCTGTTCCTGGTGTCAATGTCCTTTATGTGCAGCATCACTGGGATCTCGATGCCAGTCTGATGAGCCGCTCCTTGGTACACCAGCAAGTCAAGCAGTTCAGCATGCCATGAATCCTGGGCACTGCTGTGCTATCACACAGGCTGGATCCACATAATGCAACAGAGTTTTTGCAACCATGTTGCAATGTTGTGCTTTGTGGGAGGACAGGCACTATCAACATGCTCCTGGTTCCTGGTTTCAGCAACCAATGTTTGGAAACAACGGGTTCCTGTGTTGCACTTTCAACACGTCAACCGGAGTTTGGCATCTCCTCTTGACAAATGGGATGCTGCACTGTGCAGACAGAAGAGGGTTGTTGTATTCTGTCCCAGCGTCACTGTACCAGCAGACATTGTGGTACAGCAGTAATGCAGCTGTGTTGTTGGGCAATGTTAGTACATTGCACTATCAGTGCTGATGGCGCCAGTGTCTTGGCCCCATTCAATGGTATGGCTGTCTGCTACAGACAGCGGCACCGCATACCTCAGTGTTCTGACGGCAAGGATGTTTGTCTGTCATGATGCCAGGTATTGTGTTGTTGCAAGATCCATGTACCCTGACGATGTGGTCAGAATTTTGAGGGATCATGGGTATGGGAAGTCACACTGGCTGCCATTTCTCAAGGTAATTGGAGTGCCAGGTTCAGTTGCAACAGTGCTGTATGCAACCCTTTGGCATATTGAATGTTTAATGCCATATGTAATAAGGGGGTTCATTTGGTCTCTGAGATTGCCCAATCACCATTGCCCAATGTGCTGTCTGTTTCTCATCGCCTCTGGTCGGGTAGGAGCTGCAACAGAAGGAGATGTGTGGCCATGAAGATTGGTGAATGTTGACTCTGTTGACTGCGTTCAAGTTCAGTTGACAATACTGGCACTGCATGGATGCAACCAGCCAGCCATGGGTGCTGGTTGGCGTGACAAATGAAAACGAAGTATGCGGGCACAAACTTTGTTGGCTTGGGAAAGGACACAGAGATATCCCTGTTGCAATAGTGGAACTGAAGGTGGGCAGCCATGGGTGCTGACTAGCACTGTAGCTGCTGGCACCCCAATGTCAAGGGTATCACATGTTTGGCGATCAGGCATCATTGTGGCTACAAGGACCAGGTGCCTCCAGTACTAGCATCGTGTGGTTGTCTTTGTCACGATGTGTCCACAATCAAGTGGTGCCTTTGCAATGCTGTTGGGTTCGCCACAAACTTATTGCCCATGCGCATCCACAGCTGAACAAGCATGGCCTGGGAAGCCACAGTCAATCTTGCAGGCTGCTCTTGGCCTTGCTTGTCAGAGAATTTGACATCACAGTTTTAGTCGAGTACAAGTGTGAAGTTAATTGCTCAGCGTCTCTCCACGGTACTCACTTTGTATTTTCTTCGCCTTGCAAAAGAGGGTGAAGTGCAGTGTAGCGATGCCAAAGGGTTTAATGCAGTACAGTATTCAAAACATTGTGCGGCTGGATCTTATCGCACTGACAACAAAGAGAGGGCTTTGCATACTTGAAGTGTTGTAAAGTCTACACTTCTGGCAGGACTGAAGCGGCGCCAAAATCTTAGGGCTGCCTTGCTGCGTTTGTGAGCCAGCCCCACGATTGTGTGGTGGCCAAAGGGTAGCAGCAAATCAAATTGCGTCTGTGGAGGGCCATTGTTGTGTTGGAAGTTCCCAGCCCAGCCTTCTGGACTAAAACAAGCGTTCTTCCTCTTGAGCAGTGGTCATGTACCATCCCAGGTTGCTCACTGCTGTTTTGGCTCCGTCTTCTTGCTGCAGGCACCAAAATGGCTGCTGCTTTGCTACGGACGAGTTTATGGCTACGATGGGGATTTTGTTAGGTGAGAGCAGCATGTGCATGGACGACCATTAATCTTGGCTGCAGTGCATCCTTGAATTCATTTTTGAAGAGTTAACGTAATCCATTATAACCTTCCGCATTTTGAAATTTCAGCTTCACGATTTTTGCTGCACATTTTTTCAACAGACCATTATTGTGGGGGGCTCTGCATCATGGTCACAGCCAGAATGGCGACTTTGCTCTGTTCACATGGCCTCAAATGCCGGTTTCCATCACATAGAGGCATGCATCCTGGGCCGTTAGGCCACATGAGCACTCCAGAGACCCTTGCGCTGCAGCTGGGGCTGCTCCACACTTCTTGGCACTATTGTGTGTTTGTTAGTGCTCTGCATAGAGTTGCCAAGCGTTACAATACAATGTGGAGGGGTATAATACACTACACTACTTGGAACTGCGATCCCACAGTGTCATACAACGTTGCCCTGTGCGGTCACATTTCGTGCATCAGCCCCTGATTAGGCGATGTGACAGGCCGACACTGCCACCCCCGGGATGAGGTGACACCTGGCTGTGTACTCATGGGGTGTCGTACCCTAACTATTGCGATCGCAGTTTAGAATATTGGCACACATTCCAATCTGCGATCGCATGACCCATGCAGCCACAGAGGCGCCACGAGTACCATCAGTATGGTGACCATGCGATCGCAGGTTGGAATGTAACCATTGCCTGAAGGTGGGCCACTGATACTGGCTGAGATCACAATTCAGCTGGCGAAATTGTCTTCACATGCAGTATTTGTGGGGTGGGACTGGGAAGTTACTGCCTTGTGCCAGCTGCATGCAATTTCTGGTATCCCTCTGCGTGCGAGGAGATTTCCTGGCCAGCATTGTGAAGTGCAGCAGCTGGCATGGATGCCTGGTGCACACAGGTGCATGACTGTTTTCCAACAATCCACAACAAGCTAGATAACAAGATTCATGCAGCTGCATGCCAATCCGTGTGTGCCACAGCACATCTTGTTCCCCGCCATTTCGATCATCAGATTCTAGCACACAAAACTGCGACAATCTGGCTGCATTGTGTTTTTCTGCGATTTTTCGATTTTCGCATACCTGTTGTTGCATTTGTACAAATGCAACAATACACAGCGCTTGCAGTCAGCACTCGATGGCAGACTCAATTCCACATGAAATACTGGCCAAATGTTCCTTTGTGACCATGCGCTGCTTTCAATTAGACAATGCTGACTCCATTTAGGGCAAAGAGATTGACATGTTTGACTTAGCAGCGCTGAGGATCGAGGCACAGTGCTGCTTAATGCTGAAGCTCCATATGATCTGGAAAACGGCATCACCCCACCCCTCCAACCCCTACCCCACCACACCCGATCCCACCCTGTTATTTCCACGGCAAAATCTGCAACGATATATGTCAATGTGCTTGCTGCACACTGCCTGTGATGGGTATGCTATCAATTCCTTTCAGCTTGCAGCTCATAATGAACGAATTGCAATGGCCGCGATTGCTTACCAATGGTGCTAAGGCCTATGGTTATCATTGCCAGCTTCGGCCACCTTGGTCATTGTTGTAGGGTGTGAGCTATGGAGCCGTTCACAACAATCAGGAACTTGGCTGTTTGCATGACAAGGAAACCCCAGTTCATTGTGTCCAGGAATACTCCGACTAAAGTTTAACCAACTCTAGCACTTGCAACATTGTGGGTAGAAGGCTGTGAAGCAGCCATGCAACTGCAAAAAGCCTTGTCATCCCAACTGGAACTGGGCCACTGAAATCCAGATCCTTGGCTGAGTGTACCTGCCAAGGTAGATTAGCCAGCTGTTGTTAAGCACTAGAGTCTGCTCTGATGTCACAGTATTCTGATAGCGGATCTCTTTGGAAGGTTGATGCCTCATAATTGCTTTGGCTGCCTTTTGCAGGGCTTGGTATGGGAAGTGCCCGGAGTTCAACAATGAGAGGTCCAGAATGGAGCTTGGTTTGGAGTACATTGATTTGGAGGTCAGCGTTGTGGACATGGCTGAGAGGCTTGTGGCGAGCGCCTTGGTGGAAGCAGGTGTGGAGCACAGTCAGATGTTGTCCAGTTGAGAACAAGGGATAGGCAAACGTGAAAGCCTTCCCAATGCAGGTTTTCTGTTGTGTGTTTTCTTTCATTGCAAACCAGGGCCATAGCACCTTTCACCTGATGCCAGGCAGGTACGCAGTGTTCTTGTTTCTCCACTGCTTCATAGCTCATCCTGTCCCAGTGGGCCTGATCGCCTAATTCAACTAACTTTCGCCACCAACCTTGCTACACCTGCTACCAGTTCAGACCGGTTTGTACGAAATTGTAAGTGGCTGCACAACACAGCAGTTTCATTGGCCTCCTGGTGATAAGCATCCTGTGGCAGTAACTGCAGTAGCAACTGTGGCCATTTCCTATTGTTGGTGTCGATCCCTGGCCACCTTGTCGTTGTTTGGTGACGCTGGAGTCCACCTCCCCTCCATGTGGCCATGCTGTTGAGAATAGCCGCCAAATTTAGAGTGCATTGCCACGCTATGATTGAGCGATGAATGTCTTGTTTGCATTATGTTGAAAAGTTGCTGATTCGGCTGACCTAGGGAGATGATGTGCAGAAGATGTTCTGGAGTCTGCATGGGAGAATATATGTGATGCAATGCATGCTCTCTCCTGGTCGCAATTTGTTGGTCTGTAAGACAGGGGGCGTGCGACCCAGACCATGCATTTCTCCCGTTTCGCTCGATGCACCTCCCCATCTGTGCAGCTGCCCAATGCACTGGGTGCATGAAGATGCGTTGCAGTGATGCCGGGTATGGCAGCAGGCCACCGACGAGGATCACTGCTTGTCTGGTCAACTGCCAGATAGTACTCTTGAAGTCACCTGGGAAGTCCATGACAAGTGGTTGGTCATGCTTCAGTCACATCTTCTCATGGCTGTCGCTTCACACTTTGTCTTGCTTAGCATTTTCCCACATGCAGTCAATGCAGGTAGCGGCGGTTGGTGTCCGAGTGCTAATACGTGTCGTGTCACATGCTGCAGAGAATCGGTCCGTGCTGTTCTACTGGCTTTGGAAGTGTTACAGCCTGCTGCTGTGCGCGCCCCCAGACGCGGCGCGGTGCAGAGTCGAGCGTTTCATGATGGCTCTGCGCCTGACCAAGAGGCGCCCAGCGCCGTCCGCAGAAAAAACAGGAACGTTGGCAGAAAGGGCTATGTCAGAAATTCAACTGTCAGATAGGGGGAGCTTGGCGGGGCCATCGCAGCCACCCGCCCAGGAAAGGGTTTGATTTCGCTTGCGCCTCTGGGTCCCTTGCGTAATTTATTTGCCGCCGTTTCGTTCATGCTAGTTTGTAGGTCTTCTGAGTCGTTGCATTGGGGTGTTTGCCCTTCTTCACGGGTTGTCTGCATGTAGCTAGCGACACATGCGTCGAGGCGGGGCACAGCTTATGTAGCAGTTTTGGATGGGGATTGGGATTGGGCGAGAGGAAAACATAGCTAAGTTGCAGGGCTCCCCGCCGCGGGAGCGCGGGATTGGGAGCACAAATCCCGCTCTGAACTGCACTGATCTGGCGCACTGTTAGAACTGCTGAACTGGAGGAACTGCGTTCAAGGATGGCCGGCTGATGCGGCTTGGATTGCATGTGATGCACGCTGCATAATAATTTAAGAAAAACGGAAAAGCCTAATGGGACATTTGTATACTCAAGCATACCAAGTACGCCGAGCCGAGCTTGGTAGAGTATGACCAAGAAACTGATGGAGAAGCATAGAATGAATATACTTGGATAGATGGCCCTGTTGTCTGGCATGGGCAATAGTGTGCCCCAATTTGTATTGACACGAGATATGCGCCACCGTTTTGTTGGACTGGGAGGTGTTTGTGTCAATGAGGTCAGTACTACTGATAATCTACAATGCCCACAGCAGTCGAGAGTGTTTTTACCCTGGGGAACAGTTGTATGCGCGCGTATATTGACGTTACATGGTGTACATTCTGTCGCGCAAGCGCGTCTGCACGGTTGATGGCCACCCTGCCATCAATGGGAAATACATCACGCTGCAGCATTGAAAGACTACTGTGACTCTAATCAACATGTACATTTGACATGCACGAATGCCATCGGTGACGTCACATGAAGTCCATACACAACGCAAAACAAGCGACGCCATTCGATCCTGAATTCTGTGAGGGGGACCAAATGCCACGGTGGTGCATTAACAGACGTCTGTGCCTTCTGCTACCTGAGGTGTGCAACCCAATGAGAGATACGCCATCTGCATTCACATATACGCATGTACTTCTTTTCCCTATGGGATGGTGTTCGCCCACGTGCCACCATGGGCAGTCATTGATACAAAAAGAACAGAAAGAGCCCAAGATCACAAGCCGTTCCAGTCGATCCCAGAAATCAGGAAACGATCACCGATGATGCATTTGGTCGTCGCTCACGCGTTGGGGCCCTCTGTTAGAGGTTCTGATTAAACTAGAAACACTGAAGGGCCAGAAAGGCGGTGGTTTTCTGTATAGAAAGGGGTCATTGGGCAACCCCATCCTGTAACAGGTGTCTTGTGCACGAGCCTTGTTGGAGACATTCCCATGGCTTGGAAGGCTGATTGTGTGTATTTCCGCCGGGCCGGGCTCCTTGTCCCGCCCAGGTCCACACACACACTGGACCAATACATTACAAAGACGTTGTTTTTCCCAATACAACCCGAGGTACCCACAACTTGTGTGCCCAATCGCTTCGCTAGTAGTTAAGCCAGCCCCATACCAGACTCAACCCTTGAGTCAGACCCACCACGCCTCATTCCATCGTGCTTAACTCCCACACTTGCCTCAAATCAACCGAGCATCACCCTAATAGGGGGGGCCGGGCGGGAAGCGAAACAAGATAAGGTGGGGACCGAGGGGTGAGCCTAAGTAGCCTCCCCGCTCGCGCCCGCCAAAGCCCGCCGCTCCCAAGGGCGCCAAAAACCACTGGCTCTCCTTGAACGCGCCGAACTGGCCACTGACCCAAGGTACAGGGGGACATAAACCCCCAAGGGGCCGTCAAAAACGGTGTAC